TTCATAGGGGGGGGAAACAGGCAAAGCCCCGGAGGACCAGAGAAGGGCAAAGAGAATTATATTTTTCAAGGGTGTGAATAAGGTAATTCCATCATACTAAAGGCCAGCCAGCAGCTTGTCAGCACCCTTCATGAATCAATTTGAGAGAGGCACATCCCTTGCTTAATAACACAGCCGAGAGCTGGGAGACAAAGTCTGTGTAATACATCTTGATTTCAGCAAGGCATTTGATGGAATAGCAGTTGTTATGCTTAGAAGCACAATAGCGTATTAGGAGCTAGGCAGAATTACTGTTGGGGGATTGCCCAAACAGTCGAAAAGTCATCTCCAGCCGATTACTCATTAGTGATTCACTGTCAGATTGGCAGGAGGCTATTTCTAGGTGTTATGCCAAAAACTGGTTTTGCCAGTGATACGAGTGAAATACCGTATTTTACAAATTTGCAGGTAACACAGAGCTTGTTTGCCATACTTAACAAGTTCTTTCTGTCAGGTTCTCAGGGTGCACTGTACTGACTTCTGTGGTACCAGCCCATGACATCAGTTTCATAGAGGCTTCAGTTGCTTTTTATGTATGACAACTTTTTATTGTATTGTTAGGATTCTGGGCTGCCCTGGTTACGGCAAATGAGCTAAAGACTTTAACAAAAAGAAAGACAAGTTGCTTACCAATAACTGAAGTCCTTCAACAGATCATCTGTGTAGCCATCAGCTCTAAATTTGGGGGAGGGGGCCTCAGGTTTTGTCTGCTATTTCTTGAGTGGGCTCACCACCTTGCTTAGGTGGTCCTTATGGTATCCTAGACCCAAGTGGCTCAGGGCTTTGTATATCAACAGGACACACGGCAATGTTTTGTTGCATATCCCACTTTGCCTATTGAGTTCCTAGGGTAAAGGTAAAGGGACCCCTGACCATTAGGTCCAGTCGTGGCCGACTCTGGGGTTGCGGTGCTCATCTCGCTTTATTGGCCGAGGGAGCCGGCTTACAGTTTCCGGGTCATGTGGCCAGCATGGCTAAGCCGCTTCTGGCGAACCAGAGCAGCGCACGGAAACGCCGTTTACCTTCCCGCCGGAGTGGTACCTATTTATCTACTTGCACTTTGACATGCTTTCGAACTGCTAGGTTGGCAGGAGCAGGGACCAAGCAACGGGAGCTCACCCCGTCACGGGGATTCGAACCGCTAACCTTCTGATCAGCAAGCCCTAGGCACAGCGCCACCCGCGTCCCTTTATTGAGTTCCTACTCCTCCCTGAATGCACACATGGACAGAGCATCCATCCAGGACTGGCTTGTATGTGTTCAGAGGTATACTACTCTTAATTTTCCCATTGAACTTGTTCCATGCAGTTCAGTTGGGAAAATTAAAGTATTGGTCTTGGGTGGGAGAGAAGCAGGATTTTGTTCCACCGCAAGAGGGACCCCAAAATAGAGAACTTCCTTTCTTTAATTAAGAATGGCATGATCCCATGATCTAAAGAGGCAGAGCTCATGACACGGGGTGAAGCACGCCAGCCCCACCACTTCTGCTGCCAAGAGGGAGGCATTCCAGTGCTTTGGAGTTGCCATTCATCTTCCCTGCCCCTGAGAGGAAGCCAGTCTGCAAAACTTTGAGGAGTGCCCCAGTTCACACCAAGTTTGGCGAGAGACAGGGTGTGGCAACAGAAGTGGGACACAGGTTGATGGGCCAGGAGTTGTCAATTCCCATTTCGCCTCAGGTGGCGAGACAGGATGGGCAAAGAAGAGGCGGCTGGAGTAGAAACCTGCCCTCTGGGTAGGAATGAACTGGCATTGAGCAGAATGTTGCAGGAGTTCCAGCAAAACATGCCACCCACTTTCATCATTACAAAACATAAGGAATTAGATGGAATTTTATGTCGTTTTCAATAACTACGGGGTAAAGTTGGGATTGTTATACCAGCAGTGCAGAATCAAGCAACCACTTGTGCCCAGATCCGTCATGCTTATAAAAATCAGTGTCTTTTTAAAGAAAAGCCCACACAAGAGAAAATAATAAATTATGGATATATTTTGCTGAGAAATTTTCTTGGTTAGCGGCAGCGATGGGGAAAATGTGCATCCACAAGAGATGACTCTATAAATAGCTCTAACAGCATTGTCTCATCTTTAAAACTCAGTAAGTACAACAAAAAAGGCGTCCCTTTATGAAGCTGTTTGAGCAGAGACACAAATGGAAAGGGAAGGCATGTTTCCGGGATAAATAATGTGTGACTATCGCTGACGTGAGGTGGCTTGTATAGAATTTTGTTTTGGAAGCATGTTTCACAACACTTGTTGATGACGTTACACTTTCTTACTAAGATGTTTTAAAAACATGAGTTGGATCCCCTAAGCTTTTTCGCAGCCGCCTTTTTTTGATGTGATATATCTAGGTCAGCCAAGTGAAAAGCTGCACCGGGTTTGAGCTCGCCGTTCTTTAAGAAGTTAAAATGGAGTTTGCCACATGTTCTGCATTTGAAGGTTTCTGAAACTCCTGCCAAAGAAGCCATCTCCACCCTGGTAGATGAATACATATTTGGTCTAAGCACATACTTGTTTATCCTATCAGAAATCATTGCAGGTGGTTTTCCGTTAACTCAATATTACAGGACAGGATTCCCTGTTGGATGAGGATGAACGCTAGTGGCTAAAAATATTTCTTAGCAGTGAGGATTTGAAAGTTCTGAGCAAAGTGGATTTCCTTTGGGAAACTGACAACTGTAAGGTATTTAATGTTTTAAGGCTTTGCTGGAGCAGGATAAATGTGAAAACCCAAAGTTCATGTTTTGGCAGTTTAGATTAGCTAAAAAGCAAAGTCTTCCATGGAAAATGAACAATGGTGGAGTTCGGTGCTGAAATCCAGTAGTTTGAGGAACGACAGCATTGCCAGGTTGCAACCCAGATAACTCATTTTTTAACCTTCAATTGTCTGACTACAGTAAGATACATTGCTACTACCGTATCTGACCTGCTAAAGTCCTCAGGACTTCTATCTTTGCCTACATCCATTTGAGATTCAAAATTCTCCGGATTGCAACAATTAGTAACCCTTAATCTGTGGAGGGGCAGGGAGAATAGGACTTGATGTACAAGTTGTGCTTTCACTGCAAGCTAATGTGCGAGGGCGGGGGGGCGGGAATAAGCCATTGACATCTTTCCGCAGGGCCTGCAAGACAGAGCTGTTCCACCAGGCCTTTGGTCAGGGCGCAGCCTGACTCCCTCCTCTGGCAATCTTTACAGAACTTTACTATGGTTGCCATCAATTTTGATCTTAATTAATTTTTATAATGTTTTTAGAATGTTGCACTATTTTAGTGTTGTTAGCTGCCCTGAGCCCGGCTTTGGCTGGGGAGGGCGGGATATATATAATAATAATAATTATTATTATTATTATTATTATTATTATTATTTCCCCCATCATTGATTTCCATCCGTGGGGAGGGGGCAAATATCTCTGTGGTGCTACTATTAAAGGCACAAGTGCAGGAATATTAAAAGTAGCGACCCTGGTCTTGTCCGTTCTGTGCCTTGGACACCTCTGTAAGCTTTCCTCTTCTAGTGGCTCATTCTCTCATATGCTTTTTTTATTAGCTTAGTCTGAGTGGTGGGCATTGAGAGTGGACTGCATTTTCTAACGTGCTTCCCTCCTGCATTGTCCCAAACTTCAGTTTTAATGTTCTTGGCATCTAGAAGCAGGAGATGCTATTTCCCCTGACTAGCTAGTGAGAATTGTTGTACGGGATGGGAAATGTGAATGCTTTGAAGCACAAAATCTGGAAATCCTTTACAAAAGAAAGTTTGAGGTAGCCTAGTGGGGGGGGGGGCTGTGAGAAATCCCAAGGGGCTGACAGCTAAAAGCCTCAGCAGATTTGGAAGTAATTGGAGTAAGCTGGGAATGACAGCCTAACATGAATTCACTCCCATGCAGAGCTGCTGAACACAGGATCCAGAAACTGCTGCCAGTGTCAGAGATGCTATCAAGTTCCAGAAGAGCTTACGAAGCTCCATCTTCAGCAGAGGCTAAGAGATCCTTAAGTTTTGAAGGAGAAAACACAAAGGGCATTTTACTTGCTGTATATTAAAAAAATAGCCGGTGTTCCAATATATCATCATCTTTCTGCTGGGTGTTAATTCTAACAATATCAAAATGTACAAAAGAAGAGTAGGTGGTGTGCAGCTAATGATATCTTTTCATCAGAAAATTCATCATAATGTTATCTTTTCACCAGAAAATTTATCATAATTTTAACTTTTCATCAGAAAACTTATCATCCATAACTCATGATTGTAAACCTATTAAAACTTGCAATTAATCATATCATGCTTAATACATCCATAGCTGCAATTTAATTTGTTTTATGTCCGTTCCAATGCAATATAATGTCCAGATTTTTGTACTGGTGAAGCCAACATCTTCTAAACTTTTCGGTTTAAAATGTTGCAAAACAACAAATACATTCTACAAAAACCACTGGGAAATTCCCCTTACTTCTTTGCATGCCTGGTACAGAATAGTAATTTATAAACTGGGTTATGCATCAGAAAGTCCATCTATACCATGATCCCTTAGGCAAAGCACCCGCCGTCACTCTCAGACCACCCCAACCTGTAAAAAGAGGATAACAATATAAACTAACTTTGCAAGGGTCTTGTACGAATTGTTGGATAATGTATATGAAGTGCTGTGAATGTTGTAAAAGTGCCTTATAAATGCTAAATAATATTGCTGCATTGAGGACCTTCTAATATTTTATTTTACAATATAATTTATGACAAGGATAGAAGCTTACGGTAATATGACTGACGGATGTACCATTCAGTGTGGTATTTTTCTTGAGCAGTGTAACATGGGCCTAAGAACCTGCTTCCAGTTCATTAGCATTCTCCCCCCCCCCCCCGATTTCTGCCTCCAACAGTCTCTGGCCTGACTACAATATTCATTTTTCATGTATATAAGCTCAGGGATAAAGTCCTTTCTTCTCTTCTCTTCTCTTTACTTGCAGCCCGACCCTGCAGGCCGAGATATTTCTATTCTTCCCATTTTGGAGCACTGTGAAAACACTCACATGACCATTTGGCTTGGCATTGTTTATGCCTACAAAGGCCTACTCATGGTAAGTCTAATGGCAAGTGTAGCTCAGAGCCAGTATGGTGTCATGATAGAACGATGGACTAGGGAGTGGAGAGACCTAAATGAAAATCCCCACCTGGCCGCGAAGCCTACTGGGACACTTTCAGTTTTATTTATTGTTGCCCTAAAATGGCTAAAACGTTAGGTTACTATTTTGCTCAAATGAAATTAAAACCCAAAGTTGTAATGGTAATGTAGATAGAGACTACGGACTCCTCCCTCATGAGGAAGAAGTTGAGTGAGCCATTTATCATCACGTATTCCATACTCTCCCGTGTCATTGATAAGCGTGGGTTGGCGTCTGTCTTGAAATGATGACAGCCTTTTAAGTGCCCTGCAGCCAGCTGAAGAAGTAGGCTGTAACCTCTGAGACTTGATGCCATGTTCTTATGGGTTACTAGCAAAAAAAAAAAAAATGCTGATTGATAAATATTTTAAATAGCTCCAGCTTAATACAAATGCCCCAGTATATTTAAAGTAGCAAGTGCAATTCTTTTAAAATAAATGAGCCTCTTAACCATTTATCATAATTAAGTCTTTTTACCAATACCAAATAAGTTTATTTCCCATATCATCTTTCCTATCGGTAAGAGAAGACCCAGGAGATGTGGTAGTTTATGTGCCCCATGCTTGCACCCACATCACTCAATACCACACCTGTAATTCATGCCCAAGTGGTTAGGGGGTGGATCATGTAATTATATACCTCACAAGCAACCGTCCCTCCCCCCCCCATTAAATTAAATACTACTGGGCTAAATCCAGCCAGAGCTAGATAGTTTCAGTTATTTCAATGAGAGGTAGAGTATGGGATCACTCGGTGGAAGTTAAATGTGCTTAACTTTGCCTGGATCTCGCCCTGTCTTGCATTTGTCAACATAAGCTGCTTAAAGCAGAATGCAGATAGAAATAGAAACAGAACTCTTTTGATGTCTGGTATGCAAGCCTATCACTGTGCTTATTGTGTTAACAATCATCACTTCCTTCTCTCTTTCTAATTTCAGCTATTTGGTTGCTTTTTGGCTTGGGAGACTCGAAATGTGAGCATTCCTGCTCTGAACGACAGTAAATACATTGGCATGAGTGTTTACAATGTGGGCATCATGTGCATTATTGGAGCTGCTGTTTCCTTTCTCACACGGGACCAGCCCAATGTTCAATTCTGCATTGTGGCACTAGTCATTATATTTTGTAGTACTATTACGCTCTGCTTAGTCTTTGTTCCGAAGGTAAGCACATTGACTCATTATGGGTCTGTTATCTGCATGTAATTTTTGTAGGACTATTAAATTCACTCCTGCACTGGGAAATTCTCCTGCACAAGCCCCACTGAACTGAACTGGAACAGCAAAAGGACATGGTTGCTCACTGGATTGTGCCCATGATTCTTAAAGCGTAAGTTGAGAGCCAGCGTGATTTCAGTGGTTACAGTGTTGGACTAAGACTGGTGAGACTCGGGTGATGCTTATAGGGTGGATTTGCACCAGTCACTGCATCTCTCAGCATAATCTGCCTCTCTCAGGGTGGTTGTGAGAATAGAATGAGGGAAGGGGTCCACATCTGCCATCTTGAGTTCCATGAAGGAAAGGTGAAATATCACTTTCCTAAGGATATGCAGTTATTCCATCAGGTAGTTGCCCTGTTCCCTCCATATCTTGATTAGATGGAAAGCTACTTCTGTCTAGAACTGACAGAGCAAAGCTTTGTCTAGGGCAGTATCACTTGTGGGGACTGGTTATCTATGAATAAATTACACATAAGAATCTAGATGTCAGAGAGAAGTTTCTTTTAATACTAAGTGGGTTAAACCACAGAGCCTAGGATTTGCCGATTAGAAGGTCGGCAGTTTAAATCCCCTCGATGGGGTGAGCTCCCGTTGCTCGGTCCCAGCTCCTGCCAACCTAGCAGTTTGAAAGCACGACAAGTGCAAGTAGATAAATAGGTACAGCTCTGGTGGGAAGTTAAATGGTGTTTCCGTGCGCTGCTCTGGTTTGCCAGAAGCGGCTTAGTCATGTTGGCCACATGACCCGGAAGCTGTCTGTGGACAAACGCCGGCTCCCTTGGCCAATAAAGCGAGTTGAGTGCCGCAACCCCAGAGTCGGTCAGGACTGGACCTAATGGTCAGGGGTCCCTTTACCTTTACTTATTTGTAATACAGTAGTACCTTGGATCCCGAACGCCTTGGTACTCTGACGTTTTGGCTCCTGAACGCCGCAAACACGGAAATGAGTGTTCCAGTTTGCAAATGTTCTTTGGAACTCAATGACCGACGGAGCTTCCACGGCTTCCAATTGGCTGCAGGAGCTTCCTGCAGCCAATCAGAAGCTGCACTTTGGTTTCCGAACATTTTGGAAGTCGAAAAGACTTCTGGAACGGATTCCGTTCGACTTCCAAGGTATGACTGTAATACAATATATAAATATATAGATGTGAATATTTATAAAAGTATACATACAGAAATAGCCAGCATCATTAGATACAAAAATTATATTTTACTAATATCACATAGGAGTTTACTTCATACTGCATTTTCCCATTCCAGTAAAAAAAGGGGGGGGAGCAAACTCCATTTTTCAATTAAAAATATTGTTGCTTTGACTTCTCTTCCCTAACCATATTTGTAGCTTTAACTATTTGGGCTTTACCCCAGATTTTAATTGATCATTCCTCTATCTTTGCCATTCCTGGATTTTTCCATGCCTGAGCTATGGCTATTCAGGATGCAGGAAGTAAATGAAGGATCATGTCCTGATCCTTTCAGGGAAAGGTTTCTAGCCTGGCCTTAACCTTGACATGCTGGCTTTTGGTGTTTGTTATTCAGTCATAAGCCCCCACCTGTAATCTTTGGTGGTACAGCTGGGACACACCTCAGGGAGAGCTAGCTCTAAGAGACAGCAGATGCAGCACGTATAATGGGCAAAAAAAGAGCTCAGGCACAGAGCTTTAAAACACAGACCTGTGCCTAGAAACATGGTGCAAAAAGACGTCTGGGTGAGCCCTTAGGAAGGTGGCTTCACAGCTCTGCCCCACCACATAATGTCGCTAGAGAGAGCCATGGTGATTTCCCATTATTGTGAAATGTCAGGTTTTCACAATTAACATTGCTGTTAGCTTACTAAATTGGATTATATTTTATCCATGCATGAGCAAGTTATTTAAAGCCTGAGATGAATACTACTACTTCATATCCTCCTAATGTTGTGACTCGGGTGCTAGACCAGCCTGATAACAGTGATGGGCTGGATATGGGCCAATAAATTGATGCTGAATCCTAATAAGATTGAGATGTTATGTGCCCTGCCCTGGAAGAAGCAGATCTATATTTTAGGAGTGCTCCTAATATACATATCAATATTGATAGATAGACCCACTCCATTCGTTAATTGTAAATTTTTTAAACTAATTTTAATATTCTCGTTTTACATTGTTGTAACCTGCCGTGAGGTCTTATAGTGAAGGGTGTGTAATAAACTTTAATCAATAAATAACAATGAATGTACAAAGTCCATCTACTTTGGGCTGAAACACTTAACCACATTGGCATATGAATGGAATTTTCTAATCTCTTTGGCCAAAGTTTAGTAAATTATGGTATCTCGATACTGAAGAAGGGAACTCTAAAAGGAGAAAGGAAATTGGGTGTGTGTGTTTAAAAGTTGTTTTCAGATCCCTTCAAATATTACCTTCCAGGGGAGGTTTGGAAGCCACAGGGATCATTTCTGCATTTCATCAGTAATGTCAGAAACCTGTGATTCCTAGGAGAAGTCTAGTTTCCTGGAGGTTTGACACTAGTGTGGGAAGAAGCCATATCAGCAGCCCCTTACACATTATTTTGAGCTTCTAACATTAGCTAAGTAGCACGTTAAGGTGCCTTTGCTAAATTATGGGAAGTGGTTAGATAGTTTTAGCTCACACGGATGAGAAAATTGGCAAGGTGCTACTGAAGACTATGCCTCAAATCCAGCACTACACATTTGAATGCACGTTCAATGAACATTTTTGGGGGGCACAGGTACACAAAAATAAAATGAGATATTCTTCAACTTTCAGCTAATCACACTGAGAACAAATCCAGATGCTGCCACCCGGAACAGAGGACTCCAGTTCACTCAGAACCAGAAGAAAGATGACTCAAAAACATCCACGTCAGTCACCAGTGTCAACCAGGCCAGCACATCGAGGTTGGAAGGTCTACAGTCAGAAAACCACCAGCTGAGAATGAAAATAACAGAGGTATTGCTAAGTGTGTGTTCTGGGTTAGACTGTTCTGTCTTGCGGGCATTGCATGTATTCTCAATTTGCGAGGCCATCAAGCTATCTGAAACTCAAGTGTCAAAACAGGCGAGGTACATGACTGGATCTCTCAATGTTTTGCTTTTCACTTAGAAGCAACCGTGGACCCATATTGGATCCAGTATGGGGCAGGAGTGTGGAGGGAGTTTGACCATTTCTCCCATCTAAATTGCTTCTTCCCCGATGATGCTCTCACTGTGGTGGTGAAATGCTCTGTGTTTGCAGCAAAAAAACCCCTTAATGTCACATATACGCTCCTGGAGGGGTCAAACTGGCAGTGGCTGACCAGAAACAACACCTTGACGTTGTAGCGGTTGTAGCTCAATGAATATGTTGACCCAGTGTGAGGTGGCTGTGAAAAATATGAATTCCATGCTACGGATCATTGGGAAAGGAATTAGAAATCAACTTGCCAGTATCATAATGGCACCATACAAATCATATGGAATGCTCTGTGCAGTTCTGATCGCCTTACCTCAAAAAGTTTATTGAAGAGTTGAGAAAGGTTCAGAAAAGGGCAAACGAAATGATCGAAGGGATGGAACAACTCTCCTATGAGGAAAGGTTTAAGCATCTGGGACTGTGTAGTTAAAGAGATAGAAGTTTATAAGACAAAAAAAATTCCTTCCAGTAGCACCTTAAAGACCAACTAAGTTAGTTCTTGGTATGAGCTTTCGTGTGCATGCACACTTCTTCAGATACACTGAAACAGAAGTTGCCAGATCCTTCTATATAGTGAGAAGGTGGGGAGGGGTATTACTCAGAAGGGTGGTGGGAATGGGTGATTGGCAGATAGCTGTGATGAGCCTGTTGACGACTCTTAACGACTGCAATAGGTCTTACAGGAAAAAGCAATGGGTGAGAAGGTGAAAAATGGCTTTGTCATGTATAATGAGATAAGAATCCAATGTCTTTGTTCAGACCAGGTCTCTCCATGGTTTTAAGTTTGGTAATGAGTTGCAATTCAGCAGCTTCTCTTTCCAGTCTATTTCTGAAATTCCTTTGTAGTAAAACAGCTACTTTGAGATCTTGTATAGAATGTCCTGGGAGATTGAAGTGTTCTCCTACTGGTTTCTCTGTCTTGTGATTCTTGATGTCAGATTTATGTCCGTTTATTCTTTGGTGTAAGGTTTGGCCTGTTTGTCCAATATAGAGAGCTGAAGGACACTGTTGGCATTTGATGGCATACACAATGTTAGACGATGAGCAATTAAATAGTCCCGAGATGGTATGTGTGATGTTGTTGGGGCCAGTAATGGTGTTGTCCAGGTGTATGTGGCAGCAAAGTTGGCATCTGGGTTTATTGCAATAACATTGTGTATGCCATCAAATGCCAACAGTGCCCTTCAGCTCTCTATGCTCTCACATAGCTGCTTATTAATTGGGGCAGAAAGTTAAGCACATTTGGATCCCACTGTTCTTACATCCCTCTTGCTGAACTCAGTGTGATGTAAAATACTACTATCTAGCCAGATTACACACTAATTTAGCTTTACTCAGAGATGGTGTCCCAGGACAGAAAAAGGGAGAGGGGATCGCTATAGTATGAGTTTTACTGTCATCTCTCTGCTACGAACCTGTGGGTTTGATGTGAAAACTTCTGTTTTATCTCTTAAAAAAGATGATGCTTTCTCAGCTCACCTAGACCCTTTCATCTTAGATTAGAACATGTATTCTTTTTTAATTAGATCTGCCACCTTTTAAAGTATACTTGTTACGTAATTCTATCTCCTTTATTTATCTCTTTATGGAAGTGAGCTGTTTCAACGGCACTGCCTCCAAGTTTCTAGGCATGAGTGCAAACTACCTATTTGTTTCCATCCACCCAAAGGAAAGGATGCAGTCTGCCTTTTTCATTGTTGCTGAAGGCACATTTGCAGATTCTTTAATTTCTAACTGCTCCTGCACAAAACTGCTCCTGCACAAAACAGCTGTATTAAAAACAGGTTCAGGAGGCCGGAAAAGGAAGCAGCAGCCTTTCACGTGTGCAACTCCAAATCCTGATTTAGAGCAACACATATATACCAGAGTTGCACAAAATAGCACTAAAAAAGGGGTGCTCTTTTGTGCAAAGCTTGTATTTCAAAAATAAATTAAAAAGGTGTGTACATACCTGCATACAAATACCTGTTTGCATACCTGAAACAGACCTCAGGCTTCCTGGCCTGGAGCACACAAACACACATTTTTGACTGCTGTTTTGTGAAAATTTGGTAATTGAAAAACTTGTATTTCATAATTAAAAATGGAGGTTAAAAAAGGTGTGTGCGCACAGGTAAGCAAATGCCTGCTTGCCCACAGCAGACCTCAGATTTGTGGAACTTATGGTGGGCAAGGAATAACTAATTCAAAAGGGTGGAAAACAGCCCTCTGTAAAAAATACTTTCCAACAAGCACTGCCCACTAGTATGGAGAAGAAACATTGAAATGGATTTCAGAGGCATAAAACTGAAAGGGCTCTTATGTGCATGAAACCACATAAATGGGCACATGCAAGCAGTGGCTCATGTGCTCATTAAGGCTCTACTGTGGACAGAGCCAGAGACTGCTACTGCCCTTTCTTTCCACTGCTGTCACCAAGATTAGGGAGAGGGCAAGTGAGAGTCAACCTACACATGATGTGCAGAATGTTCCTTCTCATCATATTTGCAAACAAAACCTTTTTTTCTGAATGAAAAAGTGCTTTAAGGAAGGAATGCTTTTTGGGGGAAATCTCTGGACTTAATGATTGCCTTATCTCCTCCATTTTTGGAACCTGGACAGAACATAGACTCATTATTGTGGCTGAACCCCCCAGGTGATGCACGCTTTGCCAAAATCCTGGCCTCCGGATGAGGTGAGCGACAGGAGTTCCATTTCCTCATAGGATAGCCAGGAAAGAAGATAAGAGAACAAAGTGCAGCAAGTTTCTTATGGGACAGGAAATCCAGGCCTGACGTTTTCCTTTAGAATCAACCCAGTGAACACTGTTTTAAAAACACGAGCTGGTGTGTGCTGAAGGATTTCAAACCTCGGAGCGTTATTTCTATTTTATTTTTACTTCAGAGGGAGCATGCTCCCCTTTATGGTTGAAAATTTGTGAGGAGGTGGAATACTGCAAAACGCATCAGAGCAAAGCTGTGACACTTTAAAAGTTGAGAAATGTGCTCTGTTCCTCACACGAAGGAGCATTTGAGAGAGGTGTTCAGGAGCATCACAGGAAAAAAAGTATCTGCCTGTGCCCTAGAAAGATTTCTCAGAGCAGAATAAAAGAGAGCTCTGAGAGATTTCTTAAGAAGTCGTTTTCTTTTGAAGACTTATGACTGTTCAGAATTGAAAGGGCTTACTATGGATGACAGATGACACAGGATTCCCAAACAGAATCTCTGTGCGATGAGAAGCCTTTGGTTGCCTGTTGCAGCTCTCGGTTCTGACAGCTGCTACAGTCACCTATGAAGCATCCTCTCAACCTTTTCTCAACGCCATTGACCAGCCACCCACTCACCCTTGATGCTTCCCATGCCTCTAGAAGATGGCTACTATTGGAGCAAATGAACCGGGTGGTTGGCAGCAGCACTGCAAGAGGGATCTCAATGGGGGCACCAAAACGACAACTGCAAACAAGCGCTCAAACTGGCACTCACCTACAATTATTATTCTTTTAAAAGGCATGGCCTTACCAGTAGACTTGCAATCTAATAAACATGACAAATGACGAAAAGGAATTCATCAGTGTGGAGGGAGTAACATCTGCAGGCATCACAGAGAGTTGCTGCTTTTGGCACGCACAGGCTGAGGATGCATTTAGTGCCAATAGGAAATTAGCTACGTACAAACAATAAAAACATACACTCAGTGTAGTTATATGAGTGTTTTAATACATGGGGGGGTTACATGTGTGCTGTGTTTCCCCTATATTTGGATACCATGTGCAAATGGGTCCATTTTTTCCAGTGACACATCTGTGGACGCCCTATCAATCAGGGACACCATCTTCGTAAGCACTTTGGGGAAGCCCAACGCGACTTGCCCATGTTTGTGATGTCGCATGATGTCCTGACGTTGCTCCATGCCCAGCCTCAATAATGGGCCCCCCTAAAATAATAATCAAGGGGCCCCACAATGCTTCAGCCCCCGGCACCTATGGCATCACTGAATTACAGAGGACACTTTTGCCTGTCTAGGTGTCCGGGAATGTGTTAGAAGAAATAACTAGAACCTTTATGCATGATTGGGAGGGAACCCCACAGAGGAGAAAAATAACTTTGGTCCATAAGATTGCAAGAAAGGTTAATGAAACCTGCTTACAAAATATGTTAATGCTATTGTAACATGCTTTTCTTTTAACAGTTGGACAAAGCTTTAGAAGAAGTCACTATGCAGCTTCAAGACACCCCTGACAAGACAACATATATTAAGCAGAACCACTATCAGGAGCTCAATGACATCCTCAGTATACGGAACTTTACAGAAAATAAAGGTAGGGAAGAACAACAACAACAACTTTATTATTTATACCCCACCCATCTGGCTGGGTTTCCCCAGCCACTCTGGGCAGCTCACAGCATATATCAGAACATACTGAAACATCAGACATTGACAACTTCCCAATACAGGGCTGCCTTCTAAAAGTCAGATAGTTGTTTATTTCCTTGGCATCTGATGGGAGGGCTTTCCACAGGTTGGGTGCCACTACCAAGAAGGCCCTCTGCCTGGTTCCCTGTAACTTCACTTCTCGCAGTGAGGGAACCGCCAGAAGGCCCTTGGAGCTGGACCTCAGTGTCAAGGTTGAACGAAGGGGGTGGAGACGCTCCTTCAGGTATACTGGGCCGAGGCTGTTTAGGGCGTTAAAGGTCAGCACCAACACTCTGAATTGTGCTCAGAAATGCACCTGGGAGGCAATGAAGTTCCTTTAGGACCAGTGTTATATGGTCCCGGTGCCCACTCCCAGTCACCAGTCTAGCTGCCGCATTCTGGATTCGTTGTAGTTTCCGGGTCACCTTCAAAGGTAGCCCTACGTAGAGCGCATTGCAGTAGTCCAAGCGGGAGATAACCAGAGCATGCAACACTTTGGCGAGTCTGTGGGCAGGTAGGGTCAGTCAGCTAGCATTGTATGCACGAGGCATTTGGGATGGAGTGAAGAAGATTTGACAACAAATCCTTTGTCAAAACCACATTTTCTCCTTTTTCCACGTTTCTCCTATTTCCTTTTCCCTGTCTAGGATATACTCCAGTAAATGAAATACTGGCAGTGGCTGGTTAGCATCATGAGGAAACATGAGGAGTGTTGGTTGGGGGTAGGGAAGAGAATCTGGCCCTCCAGCTTTCTAATGTTAACCATACGGACCTAAGTATCTCTTAAACCACTGTCAACTCTTCTATAAACCACTACATATTTACTACCTCCATTAACAAGCATAGCTATGTGACCTGTTGCTGCCTACGTAACACAGAACATAAGAAGGAAACACCAGGTTTTCACCAGACATTGTCCACATGCTCAAAACTTACCTTCACCTTCATGAAATATGAATGCTGAGCTTCTTAGGCAGTACCCACTGTCACCATTTTGGAAGGGGGGGCGTTGCGCCTTTGCAGAATTGCAGAGTACATAGTTTCCTGGTAATTTAGCAATGGTAGAAAGTACCATATTGGCCTGAATATAAGCCTCACTTTCTCCCCAAATTCCGACTGTAGAAAGTTAAAGCGCAGCTTAAATTTGTGACCTTACAAAAATTGGCTTTTACGGTATCACTGCTAAAACAGACATAAGGTAAAATGGAACGGGTGTGAGTGCCTGCGGAATTTTAAGGGAGTGGCTTATATTCGAGTATTGCCTTTTTTCCCTCCCCCCCCCCCCGAATTTTAAAGGTGCGGCTTACATTTGGGTGTGGCTTATATTCGGGCCCATACGGTATAGAGAAACTAAGAAGTTGATAGGCTCTGGAGGCACTTTATAGACAAGGGAGAGACTGTTGTCAGTCATATGAACATTGTAGTTAATGAGGTCAAAAATGAAATTTTGGTCATCCCCTACAAAATAAGGAAACAAACCCTTCACATCAGCATTGTTTTTTCCCAATTTTATTTTATCGATTTCCCCCCAATTTTATTTTATCGAATTTTATCGATTCTGCAACCCAAACCGCCCTGTATTTTGATAAGATTTTACATTGATGTAGCTTCGTAGGGACTGTGCAGCATGTGGGAGCCATAATCAAAACTTCAGAACAGAAGAAGATTGTGTGTGGTGTCCACGTTTGCTCATTCACACTAAGCCATGGTTTGGCTTAGTGTCACATGTGAACCAGGCCATAGTAATCTTCCAAACTGGCAAAGTTTTACTGGTGTATGAAAGTCGAAAATGGCAGAGTAAAGTTTGGAATTGCTGATCTGCAGCCACTTTCTCTTCTCTCCTACCGATCTGAAACAGCAAAATTCTGTTCTCTGAAAAGGAATGTCTGTATCTAGCTAAGATAGCCAGCCTCTAGAAGCCATTTTGGGGCTGCACTGTGCATTTGTGTCTTTTCTTCCCTATATAGCAACTCCATCTCAGCATATGCTTTAGGAGTAATATAATGCCCTGAATTATGGAATGGGGGTGAAATATTCAAGTAGCCTTTCCTTTATTTTCAGCGGGTATTACCAAGGGCTCCTGGGCAAGTCCAGAAACAGGGGCACACCTTCTCCCTGCCTTGTTCCCCCCCCCCCCGCCATGCTAAAGTAAATTGGGGGGGAAATATTTTTTTTAAGTGAGCCTGGTTTACTTTGGAAATCTTTTAAAGGGCAACTGGTGACAGGACAGAATGTTTATCTTTGCAGAGTTACTTTGAATGTGCGTTAAAATAGACAATGCCGCTGTAAATAGATCTGAGGTTTTTGGGACGAGGGAATAATGAACTTTATTTTAATGTGACACGGTTTCAGATAAAGGGGCTGGTTCTTGCAGCAGACAGAATGATCAGGAACCTGACATGTAGGTAAATAACAAGGCATCAGAAGAACTGTCACTGTTAAAGGAGGGAGTTGAAACTCATATGTCCATTGGCAAGGATTAAGGCCGTTTTACTTTAGAACCTGGTCGCTCCTGGGTAATTGTGCGGTTTCACAAATTGTGCCTCCAGTTGTGGGACTGCAGGATGCAGTGGCCTCCAGCAATACAGCCTTGTTCTAAATTAGGTAAAGGTAAAGGGATCCCTGACCATTAGGTCCAGTCGTGGCTGACTTTGGGGTTGCGGCGCTCATCTCGCTTTACTGGCCGAGGGAGCCAGCGTACAGCTTCTGGGTCATGTGGCCAGCATGACTAAGCCGCTTCTGGCGAACCAGAGCAGCGCACAGAAACGCTGTTTACCTTCCCGCTGGAGCAGTACCTATTTATCTACTTGCACTTTGATGTGCTTTCGAACTGCTAGGTTGGCAGGAGCTGGGACAGAGCAACAGGAGCTCACCCCATCGCGGGGATTCGAACCGCCGACCTTCTGATCGGCAAGCCCTAGGCTCTGTGGTTTGTTCTAAATTACAAAATGCTTAATGGTGCTAGCTGGTTGAAAAATAAATGCCTTTATTTTTTTTATTGCCATAGGACGATCAGGGTGCATGGTATAGAGAAGAGGTATTGGGAGTCACACAGAACAAAGCAGGAAGTGGCCCTAGTTAGCTGCCAAAGGTGTTGCTTATAGCCCTTTGAGAGCAGTGGAGTCCAAGAGTGAGATTGTGTTTGGTTTGCAGCATTTGGAACAAGCCCAGGATTTGAGACATATTTCTAAACATAGAAATGTCTAGGTCTTGAATAATTCAGCTGTGTTTTCCTAGAAGAGAGAAGGAAGAGTGCTGTTTTGACTTTGGGTCTTATGTCTTCAAGCTGTCTGCTTGCTTTAAGGTCTGGGAGATGGAGCGGTTCCTGAGGGTAGCACTGCAGCCACCATTGCCACCAAAGAGAGGAGGGAAGGCATTAAAACAAGGTGGGGGGAGGAAATAAAAGTTCCAGGGAAGAATTTATCTCCTCCATTCAGCAACTGATGTGTTGGTTTCACACACCTTCCTAGCAGAAAGTCACAATAAGCTCAATGGCTCATACTCTGCATAATTGGCATCTGCCTGTCTTGAGAGACAATGGAGTGTGCTTTCAGGGGTGAAGTCAAACAGCTGTGTTAGCAGCACCAAAACGATCTTGCCAGCACGCATGCCTGGGCAGTATGTATGGAGGTCTTGGATTGCCCAGACAACAGGACCCCTCTCTCGGCCTCACTGATGCGGTCCAGAGGAAAGCAGAGCAATACGTTTGGCAACAGGTTGCCGGCAGGAGTTGCTGGAAGGAGGTGTACAAGATGCCACCCAACGGTCTTAGGGACTGCACTCCAGATTTGTGTAGGATTTGCTCCTTAGCTTTTTCTTCTCCCAGAGATACCTCACAAGGCAGCGGAGGGTCCTGCATAGATATGTACAGGATTGCACTGTGTGTGTTGCAGCTACCACCTTCACTGTGCTTTGTGGAGAGCTCTTCTGGGCCAGGTGGAGAACTGTTGTGTATTGCTGTGTGCAAGGGATCAGATCTTCATCCAGTCACTTGTACAACAGCAATTTCGTTTTGGGTGGTGGCAGGAAAGACAGACGACCTGCTTTTTGGAACTGGGAACAAAGAAGAAGTGACAATGTCCTTCCAGAATTTCTCACCAACGGAGAGATTTGCTAGTAATTGGGGGTGCAAGTAAAAGCATGTATGTTTCAATGTGTTTAAAATCTAATTGATGGTTGAGGATATTATTGGATGCTGCGAACTAACCATCTGTTGTCAGGGTCATATTTTTATATTTTGCATTATTTTAATACATCTAATTGGTCTGGGGAAACCCAGCCAGATGGGCAGGGTATAAACAATAGAATTATTATTTTTTAGTTTAGTTTAGTTTAGTTTAGTTTTAGTTTAGTTTAGTTTAGTTTAGTTTATTTATTTATTTATTTATTATTTTAATGGCATGTTTCTTAGCTATCACAAGAATTCAGTAGATTCAGTAAATAAGTTTAGAAGCACTGTGGTAGATTACAGAATCATCCCTGCAGCACTGGAAAAATAAATTTACTTTGGAAAAATGATAATATAAGGCACTTTTCTCCCTTTTTCTAGATGGTGAAAAGGCTGTATTGAAAAACCACCTTGATCAAAATCCGCAAGCCCAGTGGAATACGACAGAGCCCTCCAGAACGAGCAAAGACTTTACAGAAGATATCAATTCCCCAGAACAGTAAGTAGCATGGTTCTTTCTTGTTACATGGTCACAAGAACTGAGGTTGCTTCCTCAGTCCTTAGCATTTTTTGTTAAATCTGTGCATCGCTTACTTACAAAATTATGTCTCAAAGGATCCTTTGAGATACAAGCTAACAGTTGTCGCTGTGCCCTTGGTCTTTCCGAGTAAAATGTTAATCATTCGAACACATACATATTTATGGCAAGATTTAGTAAAACAAAATCTTTTGTAATTTGAGGGCCTTGTTAACGGTGCCCCCAGCCAACTCTGGAGACCTGAAGTTCTGGTTTTCAAGCATGGTGACATTTCTGTGTTCTGTTATGTACAAAATACTGCCTCAGCATTAATGCTGGGCTTAGGTGGCTAGCAAGCAAGTATTTAGCTTTACAAATGAGCAAAGAAAGAGAAAAGCGAAGACCCAAGGGCTCACTGTGGTTTGTTAAGAAAGAAGTGGTATTATAACTTGGGTGTATTGCTTTTGCTCGTTCCATGGGCTATTTTGTCAGGCCGCCCACTGGATTTATTTGTGGCTGTAAGGCATCTCACAAACGAGGGGCACTTTGTCAATGGCCTGCTAGCAAAGCCCTCGCTCCATTTCTTTCCTGTTCATCTTCTCCTTTCTGCCTTTGCAGCATACAGCGCCGACTCTCCTTACAACTGCCCATTCTCCATCATGCCTATTTGCCATCAATAGGAGGGGTCGATGCCAGCTGTGCCAGTCCGTGCGTCAGCCCCAGCGCCAGTCCAAGGCACCGGCATGTGCCGCCATCTTTCCGTGTGATGGTCTCTGGCCTGTAGGAGGACCAGAGCTCCGTGAACTTGCTTTTGGTACTCAATGGCTGGACCGAACGTCTTGTGTGAAACTCTTGCCTTCTACATACTCTCTTACTCTTAGCACAGAGGAACTAGTTTTACGAGGCCATCGTCAAGGGAAGACCAGCTCCACTGCTGTGGGAAAGCATGTGAAGTGGAGAGGGTCGCCCGGAGGTTTGATCTGTAGCCTTACTTGTGGACGCTTTTATTTCTTCCTGAGGAAAGTCACCAAACCCACGTTTCTTCCCAGATTTCTACAGAGGCCAGGGTGGCTGGGAAACATAGACTCGACAAAGAACAAAGACAAAAGAACCCCGCTCAAGTGTCACTAAACTTTATACGGCTACTGAAAAATGTGGAGCCACGTGCAAAAAGTTAATTGCATCAACTGAGAGTTATATTAACTGAAATGGAAACACTTTTGTTTTGCAGGGATTTCATTCAGGTGCTGGAGGCACCGGCTAGTTGGGCTGACATTCATTTCTGGGACTACGTTCAGTGGGGAGGAGGAGACACTTTGAAACGGTTCTTCGGGTGTCATTGAGACTTTCACTTAGCCCACACATCTCAAGATACGCTTGGGATGGAGAATGCTTCAAGGGGGAAGCAGGGCCAGGATCTCAGAAAGGCTACCAGGTAGGGAAAACAAGATGCTATTTGCAGCCATTCCCCTTCCCCCTGATGAGATGCAGGGTTCCAGAGGTGGCCACCTGCATACTGAAAACTAGGTCCAACAGCACAAGGCTGAGAATGGCTACGGAAGTCTTAATGTCACAGGATGGCTTGTCCCCCTCCCCAGAGTTTGCTTGATTTAAACCACAACATAATTACAGTACAGTTAATTTAGCAAGGCGGGGTGGGGGGGGTGGGATGTTTAGGCACCACTTTGCTGCTGCAGCTGAATTTTGCAGAGGCACAGATAGTATATACACAACCTTTGCTTCATATCTGCGTGTGTGACAGTGGTAGTTGAGAATAAGACAGTCTGAACCAAGTTCGCCTAATATGGACTAGGGAATGAATCCCCCTTGTCCTTTGAATTACAAAACTAAAGGCAAGAAGTGACTAAGTTTTTTGTAGAAGACATTTTTTATTTTTTAAAAAATGGTCTCCCCCCCGAGAAATCATGATTCAATCTACTCCTTCCCTAAAAGAGCAGCTGAATTCTTATCAGAGTGTAACAGCAGGAAGCTCAAATGAAATGTTTGAGTGATTCCATCACTAACTGATAGAGGTCTGATACAAGCATGTGCTGCCTGTCTGCTAGTGGTTCTGTGCAAGCCTGCAGTGATTTAAGATTGTGCATGTGTGATCCAAAGATCTTTTCCACAATTACCTGAAACAGAGAATTTCAGTGGGATCCTTGCTGTGGGCACAGCACTCACATTATTGAAGATACTGCATTCTCTGATGTTCTTATCGCTTATGTAGTTATAGGGCACTTTCCACATAACCCCAAGCACGGTGGATTCTGCACTGGACCGGCATGGAAGCAAGGCCTAATCTTCCCCATTGCCTTACTGCGTATAGGACGCTCGGAGCAAGCTAAGGCGCCTGCATTTCCATGCACCGACAAGTGTGCTTTTCAGCTGCTGGTACTCAACCCACCAAACACACTGTGAAGTACCACCAGTTGAAAAGCACTGCTCTGTGAAAAGGCCTCACCCACACAATCTTTAGATTGAGTGAGCTGGGCCTATTCATGAAGAAATGTGCTTATGTAAAGCTCTTGTTCCTTCCCATGGCAAGCTGTGAGCAGGATATGCAAATCTTGTGAATGGCGCAGAAGCAACATTGGCTGAGCGCTGGAGACAGACAAAAAAAATCCCCAAGTGTTGTACACTCCATTGTCTCTGTTCATTATTTTTTAAGGGGGGGTAGTGCTTCGAAACTCTGCAACACCCGTGTGCCCAGCATGATGAAAGAGAGATGAAATTACTGCCACCTTCACTTTTTTCCCAACCGTGTTGGCTGTCTCCAGCCTTGGCCACTCCAACTGGATGGCAATTTGGCATGCAACATTAGTGATACTGGCCAGCTGCCATTTCTAAATCTTGTATTAATTAAGCTAGCACAATAGGGCAGTGTGGAGAGGGAAGGGTGGGTGTGTGCGTGTCCTTTTGTTACTGCACCGTCTTCTCTCATGCCATAGGAATGAATCTTTTTCCCACCAGTGTTCCCAGGATATAGCATTTTAGTATCTGCATGAGAGAGGAGATTATATCAACCGAGTCACTGCGGACGCCCCTGCTCCCTCCTTCCTGATTATATTACCTTTGAAACACATGACGCTTAATCCACTGGGGGCATCACAGAATCTCTCCCTGCACACGTATCGTTGAGAGGTCATGGAGCCACCTGGAAGTGTTAGGACAACAGTGAGTAAGTCTACCGCACAGGGAGTAGGACACATCACTCGGTTTGAGCACTAACCACTGAAGGTGTCGTCTGGTGTGAGTGTGTGAGCGTGTATGTATGTGTGTTGCCAGTATTCTCTTAATTTATTAATAAACTTCATCAGGACTTTATTTAATACAAATAAATATTACTTTTCAAAAAAGAACAATAATACTGTATATAATGTATACACAAACATTTCTGTAGAAAATATTATTCCAACATAGCAGGAAACAAATCAAAAAAAATAATTCCAAAAAGTATTGGACTGTTGGCGGTGAGTGTGTGTCTGTAACTCTTTGTGAATACTGACCGTGTGCTGTTTCTTAGGTTTAAATCATGCAGTACATTCTTTGTCTCCAATGCAACTGTAGTTTCTCCCACAACATTTTTTTTTTAAATTTCCTGCAGAAAATAAGGCCCACAAAAGTGACTATAGCTATTTAATGTTTCTGTTTTTTTTTATACTGCAGCAAAAATGTACTGTAAAAATTTATGACGAGCTATGCCCCAATGGCATTTTCCAACAATGATAGTGCACAAAATGCTTTAATCTAGACTGGAACTGTCAAAAATTATTTTAAAAAAAGAGAGAATACATGGAGAATTTCTTGTATACCCCTTATACTGCATGAAAACCAATTTTTAATAAATTGTTGCAAAAATCTGTTTTATTAATAAAATAGAGAAAACCTAATTACTACTTAGTGGTTCTCTTTCTTACAGATAACTCTTGTAAATTGCAGGTACACACTTCTAGGAAAAAAGCTCACTCAGGCCCCATTTGGTGAGATAGGGAGCAATGGATCTCTTTCTGTATTACAGGCAAAGGCCTAGCTAGAGAGAAGTGGGATGTGCTTCAGAGTCCAGAGCCCTGGCCAAGCCTTTAGTCAAAGAAAAGACCCTGTCTTCCAGTAGACACTGTCCTAGACCACTCACGAGCAACAAGGAGAGAAAAGTTGTTGTGTAGTGTGCCTGCACCATCGTCTACATACTGCAGCACAAAGTCCTGCAGAACATTCAGTCAAGGGAACAAAACTTTTCTTCCCATAACTGCCTACATATGTGACCCTGTGGCTGTTCACTGGACTACAACTCCCATCAGCCCTTGCAGTGTTAGCTGCAGGGCTGATGGAAGCTGGAGTCCAGCGCTATCTGGAGAGCTACAAGTTCCCCACCCCTAGCCTAGAAGCTACTTTTTAGGATGATATCATGCACCATGAGGTCCTTACCATTTGCAGGGTGAGATTGGTTGGATATAGTGTGGAAATGACTCTCCCGTATGCCGCCATGGTTCTGATCTCAACAGTCTGGTAATGGCGAGGGGACCTGCACAGAAAGACGGAATTAACAGTGAATGTGGCCTTTGTGTATTTTAATGTATTATTTTTAGAATCATCTTGTTCTGAAGTGGGCACAAGTGGCAAATTGTACGCATTTCTGAACAGGGTTTTTGTTTTTTTAAAAATAGCATGTATGAGCCCGTGCTGTGTGTGACTTGTAGCAATTCTAAAGCTCCCTGTCAGGAAGAAGGACATCTTGGGTTATAAATTCCAATATACCAGAAAGGGAAAAGGGACCACCCCAAAGAATTCAAGGCCCATCAAAAACCTAATATTTGTCTACATTTGTTAAATCGATCAGCATCAGCCACTTTTATGATGCTGTTTTCCATAAGGGAAGAGGTACTATGGACCACAACTTCATTTTAGGCTAATAGATACATCATGGGATCTAAATAAGTTGTGTATTGCCTTTGATGATTTTACAGCAGCCTTCGTTCTTAAGGACAATGTTTATAAGAAAACTGCAGCAAACCAATATTAATGAAATGTTACTGGTGTTAATAAGTATTTTGCATTGCGATGCAAATTGATTGCTCAGATTTGTCCCCATCTACTTAATTGAATAGGCTTACACTTCCATGAGGAAAGAAACAACTATGGCAAAGATACTGCTCTCCATATATGTAGGAACTGAGATGAACTGTGTTAAATTATTTGAAGCATTGCCCAAGCTGAAGGTAGATGACACTGATGCTCCCAAAGAGCAACAGAGTTATCAGAGATCTGCTTGCAAAGTTGGCAGCAGTGATCCCTGCAAACAACTCGATGGGAGTTGTCATAACCACATTGCAAGACATGGATATTCTCGGTTCTCCCATATCAGAGTTAGAAAATGTCTTAACTTTTGAGACATGTTTATTATGCCTTTCATAACAGTCGACAATAGCTGCATCGTAATTACAGTGGTACCTCTGGTTAAGAACTCAACTCGTTCTGGAGGTCTGTTCTTAACCTAAGGTACCACTTTTGCTAATGGGACTTCCCGCCACCGTGCAATTTCTGTTCTCCTCCTGAAGCAAAGTTCTTAACCCGAGGTACTATTTCTGGGTTAGCAGAGTCTGTAACCTGTAGCGTCTGTAACCCGAGGTACCACTGTACTCCACAAAGTGGATGATAGCTCCCTATAAATTGTCCAATAACACAGCGTCCCATTTCTTGGGCTGCAATCCAATACCTAGTTAACTGGAAATAAGCCCCCTTGAACTCAATGGGACTAACCTCAGAGCAGACAGCACACACTGATTAAAAAAATATACTCAGGTTCCCAGTTGTTTTCCTAATGCGAGATGATATGAAGTTGCATTTCAACGTATGTTGCCCTGGTTTTTCAGACATTAGTCATGACCTCAGTGGAAGTTTAAAAAAATCAATGCTGCTTTCAAAACAACTCCCTGCATGTTTCTTCAGCATCCTTCCCATTCACAAATGGATTTTCACTGTTCCTTTACAGGCATGTTTTTCTTTTTTTAAAAGTGGCTACTTCCCATGAGAAACTCTGGCCTCAGCTACAAGGCCATTGCTTTTGAAACCGATAAGACATCAGAACTGCCTTGCTGGATCAAACCTAAGGCTTACCTAGTCTGATATCCTGTTTCCCAAAGTGACTAGCCAAATACCTATGAGCAATAACCCTTTCCAGCTGCCATTTTTCAGCAGTTAATGGCATTCTCCCTCCAATCTTGGATGTAGGATAACAGACACAGAAAGCATTATCCTCCGTTAATTTTGAAGGGGTCTACACTGGTGGCCATAACTATTATTCATGCTTAGGAATTATTTACAGAGGAAGAATGTAGCAGCTCCTACAAATACAAAGGTTGTTATGGTCTGGGGGAAGGGCAGGCTCAGTTTTTGCTGGGATGACAGAAAATATTTTCAAGAGGGAGTGAAGACTAATGTGAGCATTGATTTCTTGATGAGGAAGTCAAGCCAACCTGTTAAAAAAATTGTAAGCTTAAATTATATATATGTAACACTAAAAATGCTCATGTGCCAGGACACATTTACAATGGAAGCTACTCACCCATTTTCTTGGCCTGAAGTGCCATTTTCTTCCGGTTCCATACACTGAATTGACACTTGCCCAACTTGCAAAGGAGGACTGGCCATTCTTCTCCACATCTTCAGCGCTTGCTTCTGATTTCATCCAGAGATAGGAATCCAAGCACTCCTCACTTCAATGCCTTACGATACCTGTCAGCACAGGCTTCAAAATAACCACTTGCTTGGCCGCATATCCCGGTGACTGGGTGTATTTTACTGGAAAAACTTAACAAGTATTAAAATTGCTTCCACCTCTAACCTCGGCAGACTGTTCCTAACAAGATGCAAAGGTCTCAAAGGATCCTGGTTCATTTGCACTGTGGCCTCAGAACCATGAACTGCCCCAGCCTCCTAAGGATGGATGACCTCATAGCTCTGGGGGTGAAAATAAAATCCCCGTCCGGAATATTGGGTCCAGCAAGCTTCCCAGTTCAGCTCCGTATCCCTGGAAGCTCTGAGCTGGCCTAGCAGAGTAATGCAGCGGTCCTGAGTCCATGTGAGAAAGGGATAAATCAAGTCCATAGGCAGTTCTTATCTTTAGAAGCGTTTATTTACAAGGCAATAAATCCATTAACATCCATCGGAAACTTCAGCCATTCTCCGTGCTTCCAAAAGCACCCTCACAGCTCCTCTGAGCTGAGCTGTGTCTGTCTCAGTCAGAAGTGAAAGTAGAACTGAACACAGACACACACTGTGACGCATTTCCCTGCATCAAGCTCCTCCTAGAGCTCCTCCCAGATACAGGGCACCACGGAGTTTTAACCCTGCCAGTTCCAAACTCCACACCCCCTCTTGTCCTGCATCTGGGGACAATAGCCAACAATGCTTTCCCCATACACAGACCCTCACAGAACTCCTCGTGCTTCTGGAAGGTCAATGGTTTTGTGAAACCATCAGCGAGGTTCTTGGTTGAGGGACAGTATTTCAGAGCAACTAGCCCCTCTCGAACGCTCTGACACACATTTTGAAAACGTATGTCCAAATGTTTCGTCCTCGCCTTGAATTGCCCCGTCTCAGCTAATTTAAGGCATGGTTGATTGTCTTCATGCACCACAACGGGCAGACAATCCTCTTCACAGATTTCTTTGACCAAACACACATAGAACTCCAGCTCTCTGCAAGCATCTGATAGCGCACTGAACTCAGCTTCAGTAGACGAAAGCGCTATGAGACTTTGCTTCCGGGACCTCCACCCAACTACTGAGTCCCCAAACTTCATCACTAGACCTGATACTGATTTGCGATCCTCAGAGTTAGCCCAATCCGAGTCCACAAAGCAAGTCAGTTTGACTTCTCCTTGAGCTGACAACCTAAGACAAAAGTCTTTGGTTTCCTGCAAATACCTCAGAACTCTCTTGATGCCATTCCAGGCTTGTACACTAGGACTTGCAGCCTCTCTACTGAGCAGATTGACAGCAAATGCTATGTCTGGTCTGCTCCACTGGGACAAATACAACAGACTCCCTAGAGCTGACTGAAACACTTCAGTATTTTCGAACGCAGAGCGTTCTTCTTGCTGATTGTCCTTCACAAAACTAGTCTCCATAGGACTTCTCACTCCTGCACAATCACTCATCCTAAACTTCTCAAGCAACTGTTCAATCTTACCTTTCTGGCAAAGCAAAAAACTACCATCCTCAGTCCTCGCTATCTGGACGCCTAGGTAAGACTTGACATCTCCAAGCTGCTTCAGCTTGAACCGTTTTCCAAGCTCTTTAGCAAACTTCTCCACCTGTTCACCTGTTTGTGCCATTGCCAAGATATCATCAACAAACACCTGCACCACTTGCTGTTTTAAGCCTGAACCTCTAATGTAAAGACAACTGTCTGCAAGAGATCTCTTAAAACCTAGCTCCTCTAAGGCTTCATGTAGACACATATTCCAATTCCTGGCAGATTGACGTAATCCATAGATGGATTTGTGCAACCGCCACACGACGCCTGGCTCACTGACTTCAAACCCTGGAGGAGGAAGCATGTACAACTCCTCCTTGAGATCTGAGTTCAGGTAGGCGACATCTACATCAAAATGGTTCACCTTCCAACCTCTCTGTGCTGCTATCGCCAAAAGCATTCTCAGAGTCTCTGCTCTCGAGGTTGGCGAATACACTTCCGTGAAGTGTACCCCCATTTTCTGTGAGAATCCTCGGGCCACTAATCTCGCTTTATACTGTGGTTCTCCTGCTTCTGTGGGTTTCAATCGGTAAACCCATCTGCAAGTAACAGCTCGCTGGTTAGCCGGCAGCTGTGTGAGTGAGAACACACCATGAGACTCCATTGAGTTCATCTCCTTCTGCATCGCCTCGCGCCATTTGCTAGCTTCTCGCTGAGGCAACTTCTGAACATCCTCAAAGGATTCAGGTTCACACCTAGCCACACCAACCCAAACACTAGTGGCTTCATACCTTTCAGGTGGCTTTCCTTTCGTTGATCTTGCTGACCTCCTCAGCGTGAATTCTGGAACTGCGCCTGATTCACCTGGATCAACCCTACCATCTCCTGTGTCAGAAACCTCCCCCTCTGACCTGCTGCGCCTTTTTGGCCTCACAACTGGTTCTGCAGGCGGGGAGGGCTCACTCTTTGGCTCAGACTTGACAGAAACCTGTGGAGGGGTCCTGGGACTCCCTTTTGGAGAAACTGGCGCTGGACCCTGTTGCTGTGGACCGTGCGCATCAGCAGCCGGTTCAGCCTCGCCTTCCTCCTCTTCCTCATCTGAGTCTGACAGAACATCTGGGTTCCCGTGAAGACGTTTCCACCCACTCTGCTCGCAAAACTCAGCACTGCCGCTAATAAGCAGCTTGGACTGGTTGCCAGTAGGGTATGCGAAACGCCACGCCTTTGAACCCGGCTCATAGCCCACAAAGATCATCTTCCTAGACCTTGGCTCACCCTTTCTGCGCATGGCCTTTGGAGTGAGAACCCAAGCCGGAGACCCAAAAACATGAAAAAACCCCACCTTCGGCTTCTTCTGATGCAACAAAAAATACGGTGTGTTGCCTACACTGGAATTGTACACCCTATTCTGCACAAAACATGCTGTCCGATAACTCTCAGCCCAAAAACGCTGTGGCAACCCCGAATCTGCCAACATTGCGTTTGCTGATTCCTGTAGTGTGCGAAACTTCCTCTCTGCAATCCCATTCTGTTGCGGACTGTAGGGGGCAGTCAATCGATGACTGATACCCTTCTGCCTGAAAAACGATTGCAGCGCAGAACCTGTGAACTCACCCCCGCGATCAGATTGAAAGGAAATCACCCTGGTAGAGAACTGCAGCTCTATCGCTGTGATCCAATCTCTGATCAGTGCAGCTGCTTCTGACTTACATTGAAGCGCAAAAACCCAAGAAAACCTCGAAAAATCGTCAATCAGAACCAAAACCCATTTCGACCCAGCTAAAGAAGGTGTTGGCATGGGTCCTGACAAATCTGCATGCACAAGTTCAAAGGGTTTGCTGGTTCGCCTCTCTGACCTGGGGTATGAGCATGTTGTGACCTTAGATTGCTTACAGGCTTGACAATCAAGGTATCTGTCACATGCCTTGAACCTACAACCAATGGTGTTCTCTGCGGCTTTTCGCACAGACGACCACCCAGCGTGACAAAATTTTCGGTGCCACAGATGAATACAATCATTGTGTGGTGGGACATTAGCACACTGCACTTGTGCGTCTTCAATGGACTCTCCACTAGCCCCATTTTCCACCAGCCCCATTTTTCCACCAGTCCCATTTTCCACTAGTCCCACTTCTCCACCAGCCCCATTTCCAACAGGCATCTGCACCAGAAAGAGCCTGTCTGTTCTCTCAACGCTGTAGACCTTCTTTCCATCCCTGTAAAAAGAGCATAATTTGTTAGAGAACCGAACATCGAACCCTTCATCATTTAAGGCTGTTACACTTAAAAGAGAGTGCGCAAGCTCTGGGACAACATAAGCTTGCACCCAACAATCTAGAAAAGAACAATATAAAGACCCAGATTTAGTCAGTGGTCTTTTAACTCCATCTGCCATTTTGACATAACGTCCAGTTTTAACTGTCTTGCAGTTCCTCAGGAGCCCAGCAGATGGCACAAGACAGTGAGTCGCTCCCGTGTCTATAATTAGAGATACAGTGTCTCTCTGGCTGTCTTCCAAAGCTGCCATGGCAACGCTCGCACCCCCACCGGGGCCTCTGCAAGAGTCAAAGTCAGTGTTCTGTCTGGTTGCCATGCACACAGCCTCCCCCCGATCAAGGCTTTTGCCTTTTCCCAGGCACACTGTCGCAGCTGTGAGATGATAAGACGCCTTGTCTTTGTTTTTCTCCTGGCCTGCAGCTTTCCCACGTCTAGCTCTGGGAACCTGCTTTGTTGACATTCCACTCCAGCTGGTGTCCTTGACAGCCTGGGCTTCCAGCGGATGCTTCCCAGCGCTGTTGGACGTCGCCTCAGAGCACAAACAACTCTTGGAGACTTTCGCTTTCTCAGAGCTCTTGCATCGGCTTGCATGGCCTGCACCCCCACTGTTGGGTGCCTGTCTGCCTGAGGAACAGCTTGCAACTGCCTTCCTCTTGCCAGCTCTCAGCCTCTCTCCAGCACACAGTCCATCACACAGATGTGTTGAAGCATAAAAGCAGCTTTCCAACACTGCTCCAGCCCCCTCTGGGCTTGATGCTTTCTCTGGGCAACTCTCAGCCCCCTCTGGCCTGGCTCCCACTGAGGCTTGACATGCCATCTTCAGTGCCTGCCACGCGACCCAGGGCTTACTCCCTTGCAGCCTTGGCAACAGCCAAGTATCAACGCTGGCCCTCAGGATTGCTAGCACCCTTTGCTCTCTCTTCAGAGCAGCCACGTCTGCTTCCACTGCTCCTGCAGACCTCTCACTGGGCTGGGCAAGGACTGGATCAGCTTGGGTGTAATCCCAAAGCTTCCTTTCTTCCAGCCAGTAGTACATGCGTGTACTCCAGGCTTCCCAATTGGCTCCATGCAGCCTTTCAAAGGGGATATTGAAGCTCTCATGGCCCTGTGCCTGAGCAGCAGCCATCTCCTCCCCCCGGGGCTTCAAGCGTACTCACTCTGCCAGCAAGCTGGTCCTCCGAAGCAGCCGTCTCTCTTGGCTCTTGGCTCCGATCACCAGCATCTCCCACTGCCCTTCCTGGCAGGAGATCACAGCAACTCAAAGCTGGCAGTTTTCCTCCCTTCTCGCACATGTCAGGAAACACGTAAGATCCATAACCTCTGGGGGTGAAAATAAAATCCCCGTCCGGAATATTGGGTCCAGCAAGCTTCCCAGTTCAGCTCCGTATCCCTGGAAGCTCTGAGCTGGCCTAGCAGAGTAATGCAGCGGTCCTGAGTCCATGTGAGAAAGGGATAAATCAAGTCCATAGGCAGTTCTTATCTTTAGAAGCGTTTATTTACAAGGCAATAAATCCATTAACATCCATCGGAAACTTCAGCCATTCTCCGTGCTTCCAAAAGCACCCTCACAGCTCCTCTGAGCTGAGCTGTGTCTGTCTCAGTCAGAAGTGAAAGTAGAACTGAACACAGACACACACTGTGACGCATTTCCCTGCATCAAGCTCCTCCTAGAGCTCCTCCCAGATACAGGGCACCACGGAGTTTTAACCCTGCCAGTTCCAAACTCCACAATAGCTATGCATTTTCTGTGCCGTTTTGCTTTATAAACATGTGAATATATGATGACTGACATGGTGTCAGGCCCATTATTTTGTCAAGCCTGGTGCTGTTTAAATCTGACTGACAGAAATTCTTCAGGGTCTCGGGCAGAGGCAAGCTGGTGGTGCTTTACTTCTGAGCTCTCCACTTGAGACCCTTTAGATACACAGGAGTGAATTGCTCTATTGCTGAGGTTTCAATTTTTAAAAAATAAATCATGTCAATTTCTTTCTACAGAAGCAATATAGGAACGACTTTGTTAAGGAGATGTGTTGGACTTGGTTAAATTTTCAGCAATGCATTAGAAGCTCCCCAAAGTGGCTTTAAGGTTTGCTTAAGCATAAAGGACAGAATGAGATATCAATCTCTGCTACAATTGCTATGCCACTGCTGCCAGCTTGATATCTGATCCACTTATAAGAAGGGTTTCTAAAATGACTGGGCTCACTTTCCTGGGGGAAAAGAAGATTGCACTGGTTTTAACAATTAGTCTGAGAGTTTTTTAGTTGGCCGTGTGTAATTTAGAGAAAAATTGACCTAGCACAAGCTATTTATGGAAAGACAACTAAAGCCTTTCCCTCTCTGATTTCAGCACCGCACAGGCAAGAGTCAACAAAAAGGCCAATGCCTTAATTTATTTTATCATAGGTAAGCTGCATTTTGCTTCCATAAGGGGATTCCCCCATCTGAGCACTATCCATTAAGAGTTGAAAATGAAGAAACTGTGCAGGTTACACTAACGGTAAAGGTAAAGGTACCCCTGACCATTAGGTCCAGTCGCGGACGACTCTGGGGTTGCGGCGCTCATCTCGCTTTATTGGCCGAGGGAGCCGGCGTACAGCTTCTGGGTCATGTGGCCACCATGACTAAGCCGCTTCTGGCAAACCAGAGCAGCGTACGGAAACGCCGTTTACTTTCACGCTGGAGCAGTACCTATTTATCTACTTGCACTTTGACGTGCTTTTGAACTGCTAGGTGGGCAGGAGCAGGGACCGAGCACACTAGTCCTATTCATTTTCCTCACACGATTGTGCACCACCACACAAAGACTTTCAATAGTTGAAAAAGTTACCCACTTTTAACAAAGAATCAGACAAATATTACAAATACTTCGGGTTACAGACTCCACTAACCTGGAAGTAGTACCTCAGGTTAAGAACTTTACCTCAGGATGAGAACAGAAATTACGCAGCGGCGGCAGCGGGAGGCCCTATTAGCTAAAGTGGTACCTCAGGTTAAGAACGGACCTCCGGAACGAATTAAGTTCGTAACCAGAGGTACCACTGTACTATACTCTCAGAAAAAACTAAATTTAATGGAACTGGAATCACACAAGTTCCGTGGCACAATAAATCTGATCTCAAGCCGCCGCGTTTAACACGCATTATACGTAACAGAGAAGAAAAGTTACAAAGAATTTCAAAAGGTCATCTAAATCAGGGACACGGAACCTTTTTCATTCCGAGGGCCACATTCCATTCTGGGGGCCGCACACCTGTGGAGGGCAGGGAGAAAGGCTGTGAAGTGGACAGAGCAATTAATGCGAATTTTACCTTTGTCCAAGAGTCTAGTTGACAGGCATTCTCACACCCCTCTTTCTATCCTTAACCTACGGAAACAAGAGGCATTATCAGAGTTCAGAGACACACTCCAGCCAGGCAAAAACAACCAAGGAAAGTGCAGAGCGGGACAAGCAGGAGATGTAGCTGGGAAGGGCCATGGGAGAGTACTAAGAGCCAACTAGTGAGGTGCAGAGGGCAAAATGCAACCCGAGCCTGACATTTTCCATCCCAACCAAAATGATTTAAAAACAAAAACCCTGCATTGGTTTAGGCTCAGGCACATTTAGAGACAAAACTTCGTTGAAGCCCAGACTAGAACCACGAATGAAAAGGACGTTGAACACAATGGGGGGGGGGGAATAGGCAATTTTAAACAGGAATGTAATTTCCGAGAAGGTAAAGAAGTGAGTCCATTCTGCCCCAACCACTTCTGCTCTAGGGAGATTGTTATCTCAAGGAAAACGCTAGCAAAGGACAGCAATGTACTCGTGGAGAATAACCTTTTCGTGAGGGAAGGCCAATGGTAAACACATGTTTTTATACAAACCGCTTTAATAATTAAGCTCCAGGTAGACACACAGTTTTCAGAAAAAGAAGTGCTTTAAAAAAAAGAAAAGTTCAGAAAACAGGTACTATTCACATATTTCACGAAGTGTGGTCGAAAGTAAATTGCTTAAAGACTGTCTCTGTTAATGCTGAGTATCTTGACAGAATAGTCGGCCCCGCAGCTCGCCAGCTGCAGCCACCTGCTGCTCTCCGCTGTCCCTTGCCCAGCGCGGCCCACGCACTTTCTCCAACTCAGCTGCTTGACAACAAGAGTGTGGCTTTGGCTGCAAAAAGACAGAAGCTATTAGGGGGGAAGGAAACCCAATTCATCTCTTGCAACCACAAAATGTCAAACTCAGCTGGACTTTGTCAATTCCAAACGTCAGCATTTAGCTAATTAGTGCACTCCTTTTCAGCGCTGCCAGCTGGGGGGGGGGGACTAAACTTGTCACTGCCTGTAGATATTAAAGATGCTGGAGCTATTCTGAGTTCAAGTGGCATTTCTCTGCTTCATCCCATAAATAATTCAAACAGAAATACACCTATTTCCGCTGTAATTTCAGGTCAAACGTTGCCCTTAGCCATGCAAGCTTCTTAACAGAAAGTTCCAAAACACATCACTTAGAAAGTTTAAAGAGAAGCAAGTGTCAGAGAGTACAAGAGCTCAAGGGAAAAGATGCCAAACCATGGGTTGATAGTCAGGGGTGCCTTCGCAAGCCCATGTGTTCACTCCCTACAGCCTCGTTTCACAAATTACCTTCTTACCCTTTTAGGGTGTGGATCCCCCCCCCATTAATTTTCACTTCTAGTTTTCACTAATCATAGTTTACCATGACATCCGCATTGGCAACCTGTCGTTAATTCCTTATTTCCAAACCAAAGTTTATAAACAAACTATGGGTTCATATTATGAGTTCTGGGCAAGACGCTAACCAATAGGCTACCAATATGGTTATCTCAGCAAATTATTATTAACAAAAATCAGGACGGGATGATGTAATTGACCCATAAGTTTGTAGGGACAATCCTAACCAATGAACTACAATTAGCTGCCGCATCGAAAGGCAAAATCCGGGTGCGCAAACAACTGCAATCAGAAGCATGTGTGGAAAATGTTAATTGCCCAACTAATATTCACATTTCCCAGTGCTTTTTGAACTATAGACATGTTCTTCCACAGAGTAAACAACTCAAATAAAAGCAAATATTAGCTCCAATTCAATCTCCTTCTGTTGGCACTAGAGCAGGTAAACTTGTTCAAGAATTAAGTAGCTACAGCTGGCAATTTGCAACACTGAACTCTTAATAAATGTAAAGACTGTTTGGTGAAACAAACAAGACATACAGAAGTCAAGGTATGCCAACAGAACTGTGTAAAGTCTTATCTAGCTACTGTGCTGGCAAGAGATGTCCCAGAGGGCTCTGGACTGTGTGTGAGATGTTATGTGGAGCCGGGCAAACCATCTGAAGGGTGAACAGATGCTGCTGGTACACTAGTAAGCCCTTTGGGCCAATCTAGATAAATGGAAAAGTTAATGGCATAGTGAGAGATTCAAACATTCATGGTCTCATGGGGCCTTAACAAGCCAGATCCCAAAAGGCACAGAACTTGAAATCAGCATGGATGTGTCTCCTCTATTCATTGTTCATGCAGTAGTGATACTATAATTCTTATTAAGTATTGCATTATTTTATTTTAAATAATTATTGTCTGCAAATTGCTTTGAGCACAAATGTGGCAGAACATGTATTATATAAATAAAACTGACTCCAACTATATATTCCTCCCTCCTATCAGATTTCAGCTTTTAAAAATTCACCCTTTATGCATTTCTAAATGTCCCATTAAGGTCTTTAAAGTTCAGCTTGCACATCAAGTTATTTGCATCTGATTTGGAAAGGCTTAACCCAGTATGCATATAGCTGCAAACAATTGTAGTAACTGATTCCAGAGCTAAACTGAGTTTTGGTTCCGTCTTTTACCTAAGGCTTAGTTGTATCTGAATTGAAATTCAGGTTGCTAGTTCCAAATATGGGTCTAATTTTTTTAAAGGGGTGATATGGGGATACATGCACAACAAGAATGGCAACTGAATTCTATATATGGGCTAAAGCTTCTAATATAAGAGCTACAGTAAGAGACCGGGGCTACAAACCAGGGAGTCCTTGGTTCACAGCTACTTGCCTCCTACCACTCAAATCTGTAATATCGTCAGAATGATGACCCATTTTACAAGGTTACTGAAAGGATTATGACGAGATAATGTAATGTGCAGTGCTCTGAAAGTGCTATATAAAGGCCAAGTATTGCTAACACTCTGCCCTTTTCCAGGGCTGAGAAACGAAATAGGCAGAACAGAGGACATTTGCTGCTATAATTCTGCAACCGACCATGATGATAACAGTGCAGTGAAAGAAGGAGGGAAGGATATTTTTTTCATGCACTACACAGAAGAATTCCACCTGTGCTGTACTGTCTTCCCTCTCACTATAGGAAAATGAACGGGGTGCAAGGATGTACAGGGGAAGCTGATCTCTGGGATCAGCTATGAGTCGAAAAGCATGGACCAGGAATTGCATATGTAACACAGTAACCAAGACCATTGTGATAGTGTATGGCCTGAATCTAAGCAGATCTGGTTCTGGCCACAGGGCTTGAGGGATGACTGCCTGGGAACTGCAGTGAAAGGCAGGATATATTGATAATAATGATAAAAATATCGCAGGGACCTTTAGCCTTATCACACAGAGAATTCGGTATCATATGACATTCATCTGAAGCTGCTAACAAACCTTTACTGGGCCGATCCAGAATCAAATCAGAACAAGTTTAAGAACAACAGAAATGGTTTGACTCGTTTACTGGCACTCCCTAGAGCAACAGGGTCTGGAAGAGCTCTTGTGCAACACTTTCTGAAATTAAGCAGTTCTTGAAAAAGAAGCAGAGAAAGGACCACAGCAACCATACAAGGACACAAGCATCCACTACATTTTCACCCTGCATCCCCTCCAGTGCACATCTTGCTGCTACGATATCATGGCTCACCACAATTAAAATTCAGCTACTGGCTGGGGGCAAATCTGAAGCAGAGAATTCCCAGCTCACATTTCTAGCAGCTATGCTGCATCAGCTCTATAAATAAGGGTTTCTACAAATGCAGGTCCCTTAAGGCATCATTATAACAGGTGCCAAAGGGGCCTCACAGAACCAGTGCAAGAACCCTCACACAGGCAAATGCTAAGGCATCTGTGAAATAGTGGCTTTCTGTATAGTTGCTTTGAGACACAAGAGGTTTGGGATAGGGTTACCTGTTGTCTGTTTCAACACATTTGGTCCAGTCCGAAGGTGGCAGTCTTTTGTCGCTTGGTTTCCATTTATACAAGTGAATCTTCCCACTTTCTGTGCCTATTGCAACGATATAGCTATAGAAAAAGGACAGTTCTGTCAGTAATTAAAGCTCATTACCCAGTCGGCAAGCTTGTTTTCTCCTGCTCCAGAGGGTAAGGCCCGAACCACTGGCTTCAAGTTACAAGAAAGAGATTCTGACTAAACATCAGGAAGAACTTTCTGGCAGGAAGAGCGGTTCCACAACGGAATGGTCACCCTCAGTAGACTGTGGACTCTCCATCCTCTGAGGTTTTTAAGCACAGCTTGGATGGCCATCTGTCAGGGAAGCTTTAGTTGTGATTCCTGAATTGCAGGCGGTTGGGCTAGACGACCCTCAGGATCCCTTCCAACTCTCTGAAAGCTGATAATCCCAGCTCAACCACCACATAGTGGACATCACATCTAAACTGCACATAAAGGTAAAGGTAAAGGGATCCCGGACCATTAGGTCCAGTCGTGGCCGACTCTGGGATTGCGGTACTCATCTCGCTTTATTGGCCGAGGGAGCCGGCGTACAGCTTCCGGGTCATGTGGCCAGTGTGACTAAGCCGCTTCTGGCGAACTAGAGCAGCGCACGGAAACACCGTTTACCTTCCCGCCAGAACGGTACCTATTTATCTACTTGCACTTTGACGTGCTTTCGAACTACTAGGTTGACAGGAGCAGGGACCGAGCAATGGGATCTCACCCCGTCGCGGGGATTCAAACCGCCGACCTTCTGCCCTAGGCTCTGTGGTTTAACCCACAGCACCACATACAAGCAACTTTTAAGCCTTCCCCCATTTTAAGACTTGTTAATCGGGCCTGTGGATATTACAAGGTACATCCCATGTAGAGCAACACCTAGAAGGGGTAGAGGCAGGTAGAACCAGCGACTGTCTGAATAAGAGTTAGAAATACGACAAGGCGAACTAAGAAACACAGGCCACAAAAGCCACTAGTAGTGGCTCTGTTTCAGGAAATCAATCGCCATGAACATTCGGCTTCTGAGCACATGGCTTCTCCTCCAAGGACTCAAGGGCAACATACCTCCCATCAGGAGCTAGCACATGACTAGCACTAAGGGCCGTGACAGAGTCCCCAACATCCAGGACTGGCGAACAAGGCTGGATCTCACCAGGGTCGTTTTCTTTATTCTCCTCTGCTGAACAACATTCGCCCCAAATAACAACCTATTTCAAGTGCAAGTAGCAGAGTATCAGCCAATGAGACAGTGAGGACTGCACACCTGGATCAGGTGGGAGTTTCCACCCCTGCAGTGCTTCTTCCCAATGCTGCGAGAAACTAACTGTTCTCCATGCATGGAAAATGTTTGGGGGTGAATTTAGTACGTGAAAGTCCTGTTTTTCTCCCCACCTCTTCCCTTGTTTGGGGTCCAGGTTTGTTGTGAGCCCTCCAAAGAAAAAGACCTATATATGCTATTGAAAAACTGTTAGCCACCCTGAATCCAAGGGATACAGAAGGATATAAACCCATATAAATAATAAAACTAACCATAAAGGCAAATCTCTCTCTCTCTCTCTCTCTCTCTCTGTGTGTGTGTGTGTGTGTGTGTGTGAGTGACACACAGAACACTACTCTGTGCAGAAGTGATTTCACTCTTCTTCCTGCTAGGCCTAGGCCCATCCTTGGTATTGTCCAATGACCTCAGAGATTGGCTACTGCAGTTTCAGAAGTGTTCAAAGGCAGAGCTTGTGCTGGTCAAATGTAAAACTGATCACTGCCTTAAAGCTGCAGCAGTCCAGTAAGCAATAATCATATGTTGACTTTTTTTTGCCATACTGAAAAGTGAAGTGTGGGGGAGCTTCTGGGGGAATCTGAAGTTAGGAGAAAGAAGAAGGCACTCCCAACTTTGCTCACAGCAATTCTGAAATGTTTACAGGGGTGATTAAAAATAATAATCCAAGGCAAGTGTTGATGTACTTTATGGAAATTAGTTTTAGAGGAGAGGCTTAGGCTCTGGGAAAGCCACTGCTGGTTAGCAAACAGTGTACAAAACACATAGTAAGTTCTGCTGCTGTACAAAAAACATTTAGAAGCATGGATTAACTGATAAGGATTATCTGGGAAACCTTCTTTGCCGGGCTGCTCGCCACCAGCAAATAAAGGATATTACAAAAAAAGAGAAAAGAACCTGTATGGGGGCTTAAGAAAGGATAACAGCGAAGGCAATGGAAGGTTTTTTCCCCCCATGTGAAGGTGGGAATTTACAAAATAGCTTATTATAGCCACTGGTACATAAATAAGGCAAGATCTAAAGCTCTTGTTCACTTTGTTAGCAGCAAGGCAAAAGCCACTCTAAGCCAGGACTGCAAAACAGAACCTGACAATACATGAAGAGGCATAAGAAACAGAGTCGTTACCATAAAAAAATACTTTTTGCACTTTAAAAATTTGATTATAGACAACCACCGCTCACTTTTCATTCCCAACTACCATGAAATCAGAGTATGTGTAACTACAGTTGCTCACATTTATCTTCTGTTATCCTTGCATCTTTCGTCCCTGATCTTCCTCTGCTCTCTCTCCACTGACAAACCTTAGACTATAAGCTCCTTATAACAAGGAACAGTGATTTTCTGTCACTTTTACTGTGAAAGCTTTATATATACTGATGGCACTGTACTAAATTATCACAGATGACCACCATATGCACAGATATGAAACTAAAATGATTACCAAGTTCTTACGATCCGGGCAAGAGTCTATGTATGGCTACACTTCTGTAGAAGCATAGAAAACCCACAATATGTGCTACGGAGCACAGAATTCAGCTTCCAGAGAATTTCATCTCTCTTTCTCTCTCCCCCCATTTTATTCCCAGAACGACCCTGTGACGTGGGTTAGGTCAAGAGAGAATGACTGGCACAAGGTGAACAAGTGAGATTCAGTGTAGATTTCTTCGTAGGCTCAGTCCAACACTCTAACCACTACCACACCTGTTCTCATAATAAATTATTTGAAATAAGGTAATTTAGGCTAATTTTCAATTTGCAGGATCCACAGATAGCATAAATTTCTAATTACTTAAAACATAATTTGGAAAGCCTAGGAATACATTTGATTGATTGATTGATTGATTGATTGATTGATTGATTGGATTGATTGAAGTACACACTGCCTGAATTCAGGCTTCATCTTTTTCAAAATAAATGCCTTAAGCAGGTTCTTGCCCCATCATAGTACACAGAATATGGCTATAAGAGACTTCCTACTGCATAAAACTATTACCTTTCTAAGCTAACTTGCAAAATCTCACTTCAGTCCTATACTCACTAACAATGAGCATGTTAGAATTAACAGCAGCTGGGTAAATAATATTTTGTGCAAAATTCCTCCTCTGCTTTCTAATACACTCAACATCTTCCATCTGCATTGAATTAGGACTTTCAGTAAAAGATTATGCCTATATATAAAAAATAGGTAGTCAAGTTTAGTGCCAAACAAATTTACTGAGGGATGGATTTTTAAAAGCATATTAATTTTAATGACACATTCTGCATAAACATACAAGAACATGCTCCTTTGGTTCTTGCCCCAAATAGGAGTGAAGTATTGGTTTTCTTTAAACGTTTCTGTACTTTTTAAACGATTACATGGATGGAACACTGCCTTGGACACACTTTTTAAGGAAGAGGGTGGGGTATAAATGCTTTTAATAAATAAAAATTGATTTGTGTGAATTAACTCTGTGAAGCTGGGTAAGGAGCAACTGATTACCTTTTTGTCTCTGCTTCCAGTAATGAAATACTTGCTATCGGGGGTCCAGTCGCAGGACCAAATGATGCGAGTGTGCACAGCCGTGCTTTGATTTGTGTAAGCAAAAAGGCTGAAAGCTGGGTCTGGAATGACAAATTATGAAACAGAAGAGCGTTGTGATTTATTCCTGCAAGCAGACATTGCCCCAGAAAATGGCGGGGTAAAAGTTTAAAAGAAGGGAACAGTAATCTAGAGTACAGATGGCCAACTGATGGCTCACAAACTGCATCCAGACACATACCCCATTCCTACTTCCTGGTGTTCTGAACACTAAAGGCAGCCCTCTGCATAACTGCATAAGCTTCTGGGGCAACTCAGTTTGCACTGAAAGATCATCTACTAAGATTGCTCAGTCAAGGAGACGAGACCTTCCCAAGCCAAGCTGCTTGGGCAACTACAATGGCTAGTGAGTTTGGGGGTGGAGGGGTGTCTGCCAACATCCACCAGCTGAAAAACTGATCTACTGCATTCAAATAGCCTTCTTTAGGGAAGATTTGACTTCACCAAACACACACAACCTACAAACCAGTTAAAGAAGTGGCAATCATTTCTAAATCCCACAAAATTGTCAGGAACAGCAGTACTCATATTTGGATGGTTCAATAGAACAGAATACATAATATCCACTTTTTCCAGCACATTTACAAGCTTTCTTTAACATCCAGTGTTAACTCTCCTGGAATGCCACCCCTTTACGTACAGGATACAAAGATACCATTCAGCAGTCAAATGTTAGTCAAATGTTACTGGACCACGTATTTACAGGAGAAATGTTCGACAACATTTTATCAAGAGAGTTGCTACTAAAAAAAGAAGACAGGTTGCTATAGCTTTTACAACTGCTCAGCTTCCTGAGCACTGCTCAGTTCATAATGGTCAGGAGCAGGGAAACTATTTTGCCATTTCATCAGAGTAGGGCATAAACGAACATACTGTACGTTTGCCCAAAAGTTCCTTTTCCACAAGAAACACCCAAGGCCAACAGGAAGAAGCAAACAAGACAGCTTCCACCACCCGCATCTGGTTAATGGTTTGCCATGAATCAGCAGCCTGAAAGTTTCTGCTGCCCAAACGTTCTCTCCCCTGGAAACCGTATGATGAAGGCCAGATTTGTAAATCAAAATATGAAGAATAAGTTTGCAAAAGGAGATGAAGTTTAAGAAGAAACTAAAAGAGAGTCGCAAAATGGATATCTGTGTGTTCATTCGTAACACACCTTAAAAAGCTGCAACGTTAGTTTTCAACCAGTGACACCAACTGTTAGCTAGCTTACCTGGTTGCATTGAACTGATGTCATTACACTTCCAAAGTGACCACTGCCTGTCTCTTGAAACTGCTAACAAGAATTTATCGTTGGGGGAGAAGGAAATCTGTGTCACTGTCAGGTTGTGGAAAGGTAAGCTCTGCATCTGCTTCCACGTTGTGGTGCTCCACAAAATAATGGCTGCATGTTCTTTTTTAGAAGCCTGCGAAACGGGGTGATGGAGAGAGAATAAATACTGAGAATGAACAAAAGCAGCTTTGGAAAAAAACAACCATAAGGGCAGATAAACAATTTACAGAGACATTTGCCGGGTAAGATTGTGTTTAGGATGCTTGATGTCATTATTGCAGTGGTTTCATTGTTGCTCCAGTTGGTGTTATTTATCCACTCTTCTTTTGTATTACCGTTTAAATTGCTTTTATGTTTTTAAATGGTCTTATCATGTCGCACCCTGGGATTGCCTGCCGATGAAGGGTGGCCAAAAAGATTCCTAAATAAAGCCAGCATGATGTAGTAGCAAAAAGCGCTGGAGGAAATAGTGAGTCTGAACCCATGTTTTTCGGATGAATAAATATTTACTTTGCAAACTGTCCTTCGGCAGGAATCTTTACTTCACTTGATTCTCTCTTTTCGCTTGCATTACGGAAATGCCAGAAACATTGACCACCGCCACAAGTGGCTGACTCCACTACTATTACAATGCAAGAACTGATTGTATTTCTTACAGTCCTTGGCTTCCAGAAACTCATGTTCTGCATATGTCGGCCCAGGACACCATTCTACAATAAAATGGCCAGGTTTGCCTCGTCCTTCGAAAAACCTATTTTGATTTTGCTGATTAATCAACATGCCCCATGTACAACAAACAGCCTATATGAGGAATCATCCACTAATTTGCATCTGTGGAGTCTCTCCGCACATTAATTTTAAAAGTATGCATCTGATGTAGTTAAGATACTATCTTCATTTTTTTTAAAAAAGAGGAACAGTTCCACGCAATGAGGTCACTCTCCCAAAGCAGCTTTCCTGTCAGCACCAGTTGCTGCCACAGGTTTGTGAAACTCTCTAGCTGCTGGGACTCTGGTCTGATCCGTCGGATTCTTTCCCGTGACTCAGGCCACCCAGATCACTGTGATTGAAATTTCAGAGCCACTTTTTACTTTTTCTTACCTTACATGCCGAGGCAATCACAGTTTTCGCATTGTTGCAGGCAACACAAAAAACTTCATAACCGTGTCCATACCTAAAATGACAAAGACCCCAAAGTACTAATAAGGCAAAGATAGCAAAAAATGTCAGGTGGGCCACAGTTCGTTGCAGTGTATCCACACCCCACTGGCCTGCGAGCGCTCCAGTTAGAGAACAGCCTTTACCAAAGGTGTCATGGGCTTTGAAGACACTCAAACTCAGGACGCTAGGGAGAAACGTGCTAAGAGGGAGGCACGCTTGGCAAATCCACACCATGATCAACTCCCGCCCGCAAGCCAATGTCCCCACTGTGGAAGGACGTGTGGATCCAGAATTGGCCTCCACAGTCATTTACGGACTCATTATTAAAACCGTGTTTATGGAAGACAATCTTACTCGGCTACGAGTGATCGCCAAAGAAAAGAAGAAGACACACACACACACCCCGTTCCTATTCATTTCCATATAACCTGGCTATTACTGGTATGGAGGTATCAAAGCTCTGCTGTCTTGCACCCAAACCAACATTGAGCTAGATAAGATTCAATGCGATCTCAAAGCGAAGGCTCTCCTAAAAGTGTGGGTGTTTGATTCAGAGTGTCCCAAAACGTATTCTGGGAACACACACACCTTGCAGCCTCTCCGTTCTTCCTCTCTCCTTCCTGTGCGGTTGCATAGCCAAGTAGTGCCTTCATCATCCAGCTGGAAGGAAAAGCCCTTGCGAGAGGGTCGTCTTCCTTTTCTACATGTAAGGATGTCCGGATGATGAGGAAGCAAGGGTGGAGTGCTTTGCATGCCGACGACCGCGGGTTCAATCAGCAGCAAGCTCTCCTGTGACAGACTCCCTTCCTGACACCCTGGAGAGCTGCTGCCAAGCAGTGTGGACAATACTGAATTTGATGGACCAATAATAATAATAATAATTTATTTATACCCCGCCCATCTGGCTGGGTCACCCCAGCCACTCTGGGCGGCTTCCAACAAAACACTAAAATACAATAACCTATTAAACATTAAAAGCTTCCCTAAACAGGGCTGCCTTTAGATGTCTTCTAAAAGTCTGGTAGTTGTTTTTCTCTTTGACATCTGGTGGGAGGGCGTTCCACAGGGCGGGTGCCACTACCGAGAAGGCCCTCTGCCTGGTTCCCTGTAACTTGGCCTCTTGCAGTGAGGGAACCGCCAGAAGGCCCTCGGCGCTGGACCTCAGTGTCCAGGCTGAACGATGGGGGTGGAGACGCTCCTTCAGGTATACTGGACCGAGGCCATTTAGGGCTTTAAAGGTCAGCACCAACACTGACCAACAACCTGACTTGGCAGAAAGCAGGTGCCTGGAGCTCCTGTGCAGAAGATGCTGCTGCCAATTGATCTCTTATCTGGCCTTGGAAGGAGCATGGAAGGAGCATATGGGTCAGAAAATGGTGGGCTGGGGAAGACGGAGGGGCAAGGGGCAGGTAGGCACCAAGCGGAGAACTGGCAGACTTGACTTAGCATCATAGAACAGTAGAGGGCCTTCTCAGTAGTGGCGTCTGCCCTGTGGAACGCAGATGTCATGGCAATAAGCAACTATTTCATTTTTAAAAGGCACCTGAAGGCAGCCCTGTTTAGGGAAGTTTTTAATGTTTAATGCTGCTTTGTCTTTTTAATATTCGGTTGGGAGCCGCCCAGAGTGGCTTGGGAAACCCAGCCAGATGGGCAGGGTATAAATAATAAATTATTATTATTCCCTAATCATTTCTTTATAAATCGGCTATTAGTGGCAGGTCACTTGAAGAGGCCTCAGCAACCACATGGGGTCTATGAAGACCCCACAGCAGAATGGTCTGCAATGCCTTGAGTTATCACCTTTATTCATCCTGTAGTAAGACCAGCCCAACAAATGTGAGCTAAAAAAGCAAACACATTTTGCATGAAGCTAGACACTGCAAGTTTTAGTATGTTGCCTGATTACTCCTGTAATTATTTTAAAGTTCAACCGTACTATTATTGAACTATAAAATGTAATCTTTGCAATGGAACACTTCAGTAGACTCCTATGCACAATTATCTACTTAAATATTTATCAAAGTTAAAAATTTATTCTGAAATCTAAAGCCGAGGTGACAGTATTTTGCACAGAAATGCAATTGCCAAATGGTCTATTTTTAGCAAGCCAGTTCCTGTTTTTCTTGCTGCTATGGCAACATTAAACCTACATTTTCTATTATTTCACATTGCTTCTTTCAAGATTAATACTGCACAAATACAATTGGGAACCGACAATATTTTCTTTATCTCCTGTCAAAATACATTGCTTTCTACAAAAAGGGGGAGAGAGAGAGAGATGCTGTAGAACTCAGTCTTGGAAAAAGTCTTCCCTAGCAGGTTTGAGGAACTTCATCTTATTAATAGGAAATGCCACGGCCTAAATCATACTCTTCATTGGGCCAGTGATCCTTTTTGCATGCCTTTGAACATTTGAACCTAGACTGGGTTCTGATATAATGCAAAGCCAAGCAGAGTTTAGCTAAATCAAAACTTGCTTTAATGTCTGTACCCAAACTGTGGTTTGTTTAGGGCCAATAAACCACAGCTTGAAGCTGGTTTGTAAAATGTAACATTTGGAAACAGCTGCTTGCTGTTTCGTAGGACCTCACAAGCCACAGTTTGGGCAACTGATCCACCTCAAAGATCTGCTATACTATGGCGATAGTTCTGAACTTATAAAAAGAGCAGATGGGAAACAAAAGTAGGCAAGCAGATCTTGGATCACAGTTTGTTGTTGTACCTCTCAGAGCTCAAACTATGGCATGAATTCTTAAGAATGGTTAGCAGAGACTAGCATTTTAACTTCACACCAGATGTGGAGAACCAGTTCCAGCTCGGTAGGCCTGATCCTTTCATTTCCCCATGCCATGGGCCAACTTTGACAGGTGGGAGGAACCGCTACACAACATTCACCCAACTTCATAAAAGGGCCACAATACCTCAAGGACCGCTTCTTTCCATATGAACCTACCCAGACCCTGAGATCATCTTCTGAGGCCCTCCTTCGTGTGTCTCCTCCTCGAGAGGTTCAGAGGGTGGCATCATGAGAACGGGCCTTCTCTGCAGTGGCTCCCTGTCTGTGGAATGCTCTCACCAGGGAAGTTCGCCTGGTGCCTTCAATATACACCTTTAGGTGCCAGGCAAAAATGTTCCTTTTTAACCAGGCCTTTGGTTGATCCAATTTACATCCTATGCCCTTTTAAAAAAAATGACGGGGTGGGTGGGTTGTTTTTATTTTTATTAGGTACAGTGGTACCTCGCAAGACGAATGCCTCGCAAGACGGAAAACTCGCAAGACGAAAGGGTTTTTGGTTTTTTGAGTTGCTTTGCAAGACGATTTTCCCTATGGGCTTGCTTCGCAAGACGGAAACGTCTTGCAAGTTTGTTTCCTTTTTCTTAAAACCGTTAATACAGTTGCGACTTGACTTCGAGGAGCAACTCATAGCACGCGGTGTGGTAGCCTTTTTTGAGGTTTTTGAAGACTTTGGTGATTTTTGAAGCTTTTCCAAAACTTTTCCAACACCGTGCTTCGCAAGACGAAAAAAATCGCAAGACGACAAAACTCGCGGAACGAATTAATTTCGTCTTGCGAGGCACCACTGTATTTTGTGGTTTTATATATTGATTTTATTCTGTGAACCGCCCTAAGACCCTTGGGTATAGGGTGGTATATAAATTCAATAATTAAATAACAACAACAGCAAAAACAGGTGATTGCCAAAGGGACTTGTTGTAACCTCCAATCAGCTAATCGGAAGTTACAGTGACCTTGAAGGCACTTCCAGCACCTATCAGCTAACGAGTGGTTCCAGGGAGTCCCCTCTGAAGTTCATTTGTAGGCAACATTTGGATACAAACCATTTCCTGCAAACAGGGCATTTTCTTTTCTTACAGGGAACTCTACTTGCCAAAACAACAACAACAATTGGGAGCTCACTTAATAGCTACAGCCATACCTGAGCTACACCTGCCATCCCATATGCGCTCAGGTGTGAAGGTTTGCGGGGAACAGCCTCATGGGCCAGACGTTCCCTACCATTTTTTGTTATATATTTTTTCTAAATTAATGTAACTTATTTAAATTATATATAAATTATGTTATTTGTGTGATGGAGAGGAGAAGAGCGTACACACACACGTCCCTCCACAAACACGAGTCAAGTTTGATGATGAGGTATATAAGAATTGTCCAAGACAAAGCAGCAAGTCCAGAAACAAGCCAGAATTTGAAAATTTGGGTCTAAAGTTCAATGCATTATTCTGTGGATCAGGCTGCCTCCATACTCATAATGATTATAGTGACATTTTTCTATTTAAACATCAGACAAATGGATCGTGAGACATAATCAGCAATTTTCTCAGTACTGAAGAGGTTTCATATCTCTAATCAGATGCAAAGTTACATGAATCAAACATTAGGTGAAACAAGACTCCAGATATTTGTTATATTGTATTTAATTGATTTTATGGTTGTTTTTAAGTAACTCACACTGGGATCACTGCTCTTAAATGGGGCAGATTTATAAACGGACTAGATACACACACACACACGGATGGTATCTGGATCTAGCAAAATCTGCATCTGGATCCAGCAAAACATCTGTTTGGTGTGCTCTTTGCTAAAGTACAGCCTTGGTTAGAGAAATAATTCTCTTTCCTTTAAGAAAAACCTATGATGAGCAGACGACTTCACTGGGGATTCACCAAGCTTATTCAATGTACGCTGCTGCTACCTGTTCCTCTTGCCATTCTCTCAATAATGAGCTTGCAGCCGAATGTAACAATTGCCCTCTCAGAGCACCTTTAGCCAGCTAGCAAAGAGTCTCTCTCCTGAGTTTATGAGAGTTCACTTCGAAAACCTACTAAGATTACTACAGATTTAAAAGTCTTTCCCTTTAAAAAATAAAAATAAAATCCTGCTGCTCCCTTTCCTCCAAACACAATGACAGCACTTATGTGCCTTTAAAAGTTATTGATTTACTAAGTGTTTTCGGTTACTTGGTTATTGGTTACCTATTATACTGACCTTCAACAAAAGAATTTGAAGGCAAGGGTGAGGTGCAGTAACAACCACCCTAGTTAGGCTTAGAGAAAGGAAATTGGTTCTTACTGTGAATTTCTATTTACTGATTGTGTTGCGAGGATAGTCTCTAGATAGGATGACGTCCTCAGGATCTTGAGCAGAGCGACACATCCCATCTACACCCACAACCAAAAATAAATCTCTCTCTCTCTCATTACAAACAGAAAAGAAGTAGTGAACACTGAGTTCATAAAATAGAGGAACTGTCAAAATGTAGATCCCCATGCCAATCTGCCCACCCCAGGGAGAAACAAGAGTGAATGAGGAACCTCCAAATCCCAGCCAACAGTCCCAGACATTGGTGGGGAGTTAAACAGGGTGGACAACAGAGTGGATAATACAAGAGGAATTGTTTTTATTCCTCTTTTTAACTGTAGAGTAGTTAAAAGTACCGCACTGGAAGCCTTTTCTCCTAAGGAACAAAAGACTCGACCTAATCCGTCATGGGGACGTGGGTGGCGCTGTGGTCTAAACCACCGAGCCTAGGGCTTGCTGATCAGAAGGTCGGCAGCTCGAATCCCCGCGACGGGGTGAGCTCCCGTTGTTCGATCCCTGCTCCTGCCAACCTAGCAGTTCGAAAGCACATCAAAGTGCAAGAAAATAAATAGGTACCGCTCCAGTGGGAAGGTAAACGGCGTTTCCGTCTGCTGCTCTGGTTTCGCCAGAAGCGGCTTAGTCATGCTAGCCACATGACCCGGAAAAACGGTCTGCAGACAAATGTCGGCTCCCTCAGCCAGTAAAGCGAGATGAGTGCCGCAACCCCAGATTCGTCCGCGACTGGACTTAATGGTCAGGGGTACCTTTACCTTTACCCCATCAGGAGGCAGGGAAGATTTGGAGGGTAGGACGACTTCTGCTCCCCAGAAGAGGTGAAGCTTTTCAAGACCCTGTGCTTCACGTCCAGAGGGAAAATGCCATCCTCCAACATAACCGGGTTTTTGGCTTGGCCCAACATCTTCCACTAAAGGCCATATGGTTGACTGAATGATTGACACTTCGTCACACCGTTCTAAGAAGCAGACTGAGCTACTACCTTCCCTCCACCAAAAACATCCAAGCTTCTTCCCCCTGCCCCTGCCCTTAACACTGAGCCAGAGGGAGAGTTTTATGAAACTCTAAAACCCATCCGTGTAAAGCTGGTCATACTGCAGATTTCTAATTGCTTTGTTTTTGCTGTTCGCTTGTGGCTACAAAAACTACATCTGGCAGCTGGCAATACATGGCCTACGGGCTGCATTCTGCTTGGTGGGTCACAAGGCGTGCAGGTCTGTGGACAGGGCTCTGGCAAATGGTCTTGGCAAACCATGCAAGGATTTCCCCCCCGGCCCTGAGAATATTTCCAGGCTTCCCTGCTCAGATTCAGCAAAAAGCCAAATTGCTTGGAATCATGGTACCTCTGCAACCTCCAGCCTGCCAAGAATGAGAGACTGTGAAAAACTGGCACACTTTGCAAAGAGAGCTGCCACAATTTAAAGCGCCTTTAAGGCAACTGCAGCGAGCAAAGAAAACAGAGGGGAAAACAATTCCTCCCTGGGAATTGTTCCAGGACAGCAGACCTCGCTGAATCTAAAGGCAAAAATCTATCTCCTGACCTCTGCTCAAATGCACACATATTTGATGCAACTCAGCAACTCCTTCACTGAACACAGAGCTGCCTCTGGGTTACCCTCTAGCTCCTAAAAGCGCTTGTTTCAGGAGAGCAGCCACTCATTCGTCTATTGTTTGTTTCTCAGTTTCAGGAGGGAGCTATACTCAGGATCAATAAAGCAACTGCTCCATGTTTACCAAGTGATATAGTATAGCAGCTAAAAATGCCATTAGTAAGCCAGAAGGTCACAGGTTCAAGTCTTATCTCAGCCACTAACCCTTAGTAGTTAGGAACCTACACCCTTCGGGAAGCCACTCTCTCTCAGTCTCCATTCCCATTGCCCAGATTATATTAGTAACAGAAACATTTTTTTAAAAAATCACCACCACTACTACTACTAGGGATGTGGGTGGCCCTGTGGGTTAAACCACAGAGCCTAGGATTGCCAGTCAGAAGGTCAGCGGTTCGAATCCCCGCGACAGGGCGAGCTCCCATTGCTCGGTCCCTGCTCCTGCCAACCTAGCAGTTCGAAAGAACGTCAAACTTCAAGTAGATAAATAGGTACCACTCCGGTGGGAAGGTAAACGGCGTTTCCGTGCGCTGCTCTGGTTCGCCAAAAGCGGCTTAGTCATGCTAGCCACAAGACCCGGAAGCTGTACGCTGGCTCCCTCGGCCAGTAAAGCGAGATGAGCGACGCAACCCCAGAGTTGGCCACGACTAGACCTAATGGTCAGGGGTCCCTTTACCTTACCTTTACTACTACTACTACTAAATAACAACAACAGCTGCTTATGGGGTTTTGAAAAAGTTGCAAAGAATTCAACAAAAACCTGCCAAAGCCTAGGCCAGTAGGTCTTCCAGAAGCATCATCTGGCCTTTTTTAAATTTAAATTGACTGTCAAGCAGTTAATTGATAGGACAGAGTAATTCGCATACTGTAACTTGCCCCAAGCCTTTTGGATGGGATAGGACATAAAATCAAATACATACATAACATATACATTAGATGCTAAATGTTCTTACTAAGTATCTTCAAACCTGGCTAGAGACCCAGGTTCAATCCCCACCCATTCAAGGCTGTTGTGGGAACAAGATAAAAGATGATTTTGCATGCTATTCTGAGCTACCTCAATAAAGAATAGGATGCAAATGTGGTTTTTAATAAATGCCATTCATTCATTTGGCCCACATTTAGCCCAGGACAACTCCAAGTTTAATGAGGAAATGAGGACAACTCGTGGGAAGTTGACTTTAAACAAATGAGTTAAAACCTTTCCCCATATTTTTTCCGTTTATTTCTCATCTGATAAACAAAGCGACTTACAACTTTTGTGTTTCAGGCCATAACGTGTTCTGCAAGAGATGATCTTCCGTGGGAGGTTCTGGAAGATATTAATTGGTTTAGAACCAAGAGGTTTTTCCCCCTCATACTGCACCCCCTTCCCTTTCATCTGCTCCCTTAATTTACATAACAAAATTCCCAAACACAGCATTTTAACACGTTTCATACCTGTAAGACTACATGGCTGAAAGTAATTTTCATGATACTGACTGGAAGCGTTACTAAGTTTTTCTTCTTCTTCGGTCGTCTGGGCTGCAGAATCTTCCGCTGTAAAAGAGGCATATTTTAGAGTCCGAAAGTAACATGCCAATCAAGGAATGGTTAACAAAATACTGAACAGAGAAGAACAATTCTGTTTTCAGTTTAAATTATCTAAAAGAAAATTTGGTCCATAACCTTTGGATAGAAAGGTAAGCAAATTTTACAATGCAAGGTAAACTATTTGGGCCTCGTGACACAACTCCTGGCAGGACCTAGAGAAAAAGCTGAAAGAAGCTGGTATGGCGTTCTCCTGAGATTACCCCATAACTCATCTTCTTGGTCAGCTTTCTACAGACTTTTCTGCCTTATACTTTTCCCAGCTGCAACTCAGCATTTGGCAAAGTAGGCCATCACCTACAGAATTTAGACTCCAGATGCCATCAAATTTTTGGTTTTTGCTTTTGTTAGACACCCCTGCCAATTTGAGCTCCCTCAACCGACTTCTGTAGGAAATGAAGTTTGCAATTTCATAACAATTGCACTAAATTTATTAATCAAGAAGATTTGTTTTAAAAAAGGGGGGGGGAGCTTAAAATATACACTCTATTGAATAAGTTTACCCAGCCATCAAATATGGGTGTGAGCCTTGAAGCGTGGCATTCAGAGACTTTAACCAGTGGCCTCCGATTAATTTTTCAGGAAAACGTATGTTATCAGATCTGAACAACATGGGAACATACAGCACCCAAGACTTCCAGACACATCTCCTGCCATCTTGACACCAACAGCTACACAATGAAATAACAGGGCAGTAATTTAACTGCAGAAAATGAATTCTTGAAAGGACTTAGGGACAACAGCTCATGAATTCTGGTATGACACAGCAGACTATGCATAGGCTTATCACAGTACTGGATAACTGACAAATGTCCTAACAGAAAGAAGCGATATACTGGGATAAGGACTGCAATCTAAAAACCCTATCCACCATGCTGGGGGGGGGGCGGTTTGTTGTACAAGATGAAGCAGAGGGCTCCCTCTGCCCAGCCCAAAACAGCGCCACCAGTCTTTGCCACAAAATCATAGCAGTGGCACACCTCTGGCACACCTCCCTGTTCATCTTACCAAACATACAGCCAGGAGGACTTCCGCCAGAGGTAGCCCATTGAAAGCCCCCCAAACAGGGCATTCCAGGAGCAGGCAGAGGGGAGCCTAACCAGCCTAGCATCCAGAGCCAGCCTAACTACAGTCACTTGACCCCAGGCTAACATAGAGTGGTGCAGTGTTCTGTCTGCTCACCCCATACACCCCCCAGCTTCTACCCCCGCTGGCATGAGTGGTGGGCTTGCAGAAGCAACAGTGGCTACGCCACTCTGTCTTGGACCACTGCTGCCTGGACGAAGGTTAGGACTGCTCTTCCAGTGTCATTTTGTTCACAAAATAGCTTCAATCATAATATCTCTTTAGAGACAAGAGCCAGGCAATTCCTGGTTTTTTGAAGCTACCTTACACCCTGTCAGAATATTTGTCCATCTAGCCCAATATTATCTTGTCCTCTGAGTGGCAGCAACTAGTCTCCAATATCTTAAAACTCTTTCCCACCGGCTACTATCTGATCCCAGAAAGGAAATGTTTCCAAATTCCTCCAAACGGCTAGGCTAGACTTAGCAACTTCCCAGAATTCAAACCAAGGCTAAATAAGGACCAGCCACCTAGTGCCTCCCCTCTCATCAATCTAAACAACACAAATCTTTTTAAAAACAACACACACAAACATTCTATTAGTCACATATGAGTATATATGTATATATGTGTGTATACACACACAGGTGTAGCTAGAGAATGGTTTGCAAATCACACAGACAACGCACAACTCTTACCTTGAAAGACAGCCTTATTGGACAGCCCCAAGGCTGGCACAGTAGCTCCTTCTGGAAGATCAATCATTTGCTAAAGAGAAAAAAGAAAAAGTTATGTAGACGTTAGCTGCTTATTTGCTTTCCTTGGGTGGGTGGGGGGAGTTACTCATATAAGCTTTGAAATTTCTTGATGGTCCTTCTTTAGTGTACTTTCAGCCTGACCTTTCATGACGTAAAAACTCAAGCTTGGTAATACATAATGACCTATTCCAATGACTAGGAAAATACCAATCCAAAACTGTTAAAACTTAAAACTACATGCTCCAACTTTATAGGTAAGGTGAAAGTACCAACACAATTTTGGCTCCCCTGTGAGAAAACTACTGTAGTTCCAGGCCTCGTGTCTTTTAGTCTGCATTTCTCAAAGGAGGAACCGTAGTTCAGCTGTAAACAATTCACATAGTGAAGATCTCCGGTTAATGGATTTCCAGTAAGAGAGTTAGGAAGCTCACACACTTTAAAAGAAAGTAAATACACACTTACTCCACTATTTAGTTCCTCCAGAGATATACCAGAAATGCTGCTGAAGTTTTCCATAAAATTCCTGGGTGCAGTAAATACTCGAAGCACCTTCTCATCTGCTCCAGACACAAACTGAAATCGGCCGGTCATCGCTAAACACTGCATGTCATATCCATGGACCTGGGGTCTTGCTATTTCATGCCATGATGCCTAGTAAAGGGACCATTGACATGTAAGTATGTGCCGGTATTGTCAGCTATAGGAAAGAAGCACTGAAGAATTGAGAACATTTAGCTTCAGTCCATTCTAAGTAGTCAACTTTGCTGAAAATGGACATTCAGCCCATTCCCCAGAAAAAGCATCCTTGCCCTCGACTTAGTCCTCACTGGAAATGCTAGGGATCTCTTCGCATTTATAAGCAATGGAGAAAAGATTGCTGTAATTTTTATCAAGATTGCAGGGAAGCATCTCTGCCGAATGTTGAACAGGTATCCCCAAGTTAAGTCTAACTCCCTCCACTTACTAGTTCTAAATTTCTCTTTAATATATTTTATTCCTCTAAAGGAAACAGAACAGAGCAAGGGAATGCTGCATAAACAATGACACAATTAGCAGGAAGTCTGCAAAAAGCAAGATATAATTTTTGAATTGCTCCTTTTAGTGCAAGAACTGGACATTTTTAGACATCCGCAATATTGTAATATCATAGTAGCAAACTAAAGATCAGTGTACAGCGTAAATGGTTTTTGAGAAATTAGAGACCAGCCATTGTTCCAGTTTCACATTTTGTGACCTATTGACTTACAGATGATTTTGCAAGCTTGTAGAAAAGATTAAATAAATAAATACCTCTGTTTTGTTCTCCCTTTTCCACGGAGCAAAGATTCTTGTAGTTTGGTCAGAACCAACAGAGATGATGAATTCTCCTTCTGGATCCCACATCACATCTTGCACGGCATCGAAATGCCCTGAAATAACCACTTCTGGAGCCCATTCTCTCTATTAAACCAAGACCACTAATATCATATAAAATGTGAACGAGCTATCTGTTAAATATAGAGATCTCACTATAAATGAAGCACCCAGCTACAAAGAAAAGCATTAGCACTCGGGGGCGGGGGGTGTCCGCAGATCTGCTAACGGCAGCTGATAGTCTGATGAAGGATGAGAGTAAAGTATTACAAGGTTGGGAACCACATTTCCTTGGGGACCAATAATGGACACAGCCAAATGTCTAACTAATCCAGAAGAAAAACTGCCCTGCCTCAATTTTCACAATGACCATCTCAAATTAGAATACCCAATGTTAGGTCTACTCAAAAGCAAACCCCACTAGGTTACACGGGGTGACTCTAAAATGAGTATACAAAGGATTATTATATTTACAATAGACCAATATAGCTACTGTTCTGAGAAAGCAAGAAAAGGGCATTCCTTTTGAAGTTTAGCATGCTATTCACAAACACACAGCAGAAGTCCGAGCTGTAAAAACAGTGGCAGGGGGTGGGGAATAATAACACACACACACACCCCTCATCAATTTATTTTTCACCAATAAAATATTGCCCCTTCCAATTGTTCTGCTGCTACATAAGGGGGGGGGCTTTTAAAAGCCAGGAAAAATAAGGAGGAAACAAACAGGAACCAAGGAACTTTGATGGGATTGAAGCCACATAAAATGAGGTCATGGTCATATGCATACCTCGCTGGTTACAATAAAGGGCCGTGTTTTTATACATTTAAAAATGCTATGTATATTGAAGGCAACGTGATCCTCTCTTTCAATAGCATTTTACCCGCCCCCCTCATACCTACTAAGAGCTAGCCTGGAAATGGCATGCGCATTTCGCAAGCAGAAGGTCTCAGGTTCAGTCCTGTCATCTACAGTTAAAAGGCTGGGAAAGGTTTGTCTCGTCTCACAGATCTTGGAAAGATACTGCTGTGGGGTAGATCAGAGTGGGCCAGATGGACTGACTCAGCACAAAGCAATCTCTCTCTCTCTCTCTCTCTCTCTCTCTCTCTCTCTCTCACACACACACACACACACTCACACACATATATATACATATACATATATACATATATATATATATATATATATATATATATATATATGATGTTTACTACCCACAGAGCCCAAAAAGCACACCCCAGTGATCCCATCAGATTTAATCTTGTTTGCTACTAATTGTGGTAGGGGGGAAAAAAGAAAATTAAGAAGATCAATGCTTTAGATTGAGGTGTTCAGAATAGATATCCAATCTAGTGTATCTGTTGAGCACAAAGTCACAGCTTGCTATACAACAACAGTCCGTGAACATTTTCCTCTCTAGCAACATAAATAAATTCTCTTGCCTTGTTTGCTGAAGTCTGTTTCCAAAGATGCAGCGCTCCGTGGAAAGCATGAGCAAGAATCATTGAGCCATCTGGGCTGAAGTGACAGTCAAAAAACCCCAGAGTATTTCCACCCACTTCTCCTACTCGGACCTTTTTTAAAAAAGTGAACACAAAATACATGAGCCAGCCGCCAGTCAATCTGCTCACTGATGGCTAAAGACTTAATTCTAAACAAAATAACAAAACTACATCTACAATTTAGAATTACACCCAAAAGAGAAGTTAAAAGAACACAGTTACAGCAGCATTAATGTGCTATTGATCTTACAAAATTAAGAAACCATTAGTTCAGGGTCTAGGCACACACCTGTTATATCTACAAACAACACAGAAAAATAGGTTCAAACCCCCCCCCATATTTATCACCAATATATCTTAATTTTAAAAATGGTTTGATATGCTTATTTGCCAAGTTCACAGGCAGTCTGCAATAAAAATAAAACATTCCAAGGTGAAAGAATGCTTATTGGCTGAGCTGGCTTAAATCCTTTTTTTAGACAAATTCATAAAATTCAGTATTTATTATCCATAACAGCTAAATTGAACCTCCATGTGCTGGCGCAGGGTACTAGATGCTGGGAACATCTGGTTGTGCCATCAGAGATGCCAAAGGTTTATTAAAAAGAAAAAACACCAAGTTTCCAGCATAAGGCAAGTACTTAAGTTTCAGTTCAAACCCATGTGTAGGCAGACAGGATGGACGGGTTTCAAATGTGTGTGGCCTCTTTGCTGCAAGCACAGTCTCCTCCTTTCCCTCATATGCACACAGAAGTCTTTACTGCTTTTAAGAATCAGTTTTTGTGGTTCTAAATACAGCAGAATGTTGCTTGTTTGCTCTTCCACTGACGGAACAGCCTGCTACAATTACAATACTTTCCGCTTGGATATGACCTCATATTCCCTTTACTTAATTTCTAAAGCCGTGGGGGGGTGGGGGTGGGCAGGGAAAGCAAGAAAGGAAAATGTATAAAACATGCCTACCTGTTCCAACCACACCCCAGATTCATCATCTGGAGCCCAGAGGATCACAGTTTTGTCCATTGAAGCAGACAACAACCTCATTGGCTGTTCCATCCTGCCATCTACAGTGCAAGGAGAAAATTTACCTTAGTGGAAGATGCTAGCATGCTTTTTTGCATCTCACATATTGTATTTGGGATAGCAAAGGTAAGATAATTCTACAAAGGCATGCTGCAGAACAAACTGTGTTGGGCTGAAGAGGAGAGAAATGTGTAGTTGCAATTTACAGTATTCTAAGAAGGGTGCAGGGACGTGGGTGGCGCTATGGGTAAAAGCCTCAGCGCATAGGGCTTGCCGAACGAAAGGTCGGCGGTTCGAATCCCCGCGGCGGGGTGCGCTCCCATTGTTCGGTCCCAGCGCCTGCCAACCTAGCAGTTCGAAAGCACTCCCGGGTGCAAGTAAATAAATAGGGACCGCTTACTAGCGGGAAGGTAAACGGTGTTTCCGTGTGCGGCTCTGGCTCGCCAGAGCAGCGATGTCACGCTGGCCACGTGACCCGGAAGTGTCTCCGGACAGCGCTGGCCCCCGGCCTCTTGAGTGAGATGGGCGCACAACCCTAGAGTCTGTCAAGACTGGCCCGTATGGGCAGGGGTACCTTTACCTTTAAGAAGGGTGCAGAGACAAAAGTATTGTACATTGGATACTAGGTGCTGTAGTAATTGTCTACCGCCCCTGCTTTAAAAGGGAATGTTTGCAGATGGTTCTGGGTCCATACATTTCAAATTGCACAAATTCAGTTCCAATCACAAGAGAAAACATTACACCCAGAAGTGCCAAGTGTAGTCACTATTTGGAAATGGAGCACTTTGTGAATCATTGGTCGTTAACTGGCGACTCGTGACACATTAAGTGGTAAATCATAGGTTGAGATGAACCTTAAGGCAGGCTGCACTGGCAAAGCAATGGCGATTTCCCAAAAGAATCAGCATTTATGATTCTAAATGTCACTGAATGTTGCTATTTTCAATAGAAGAAAAGGGAAAGAGAGAAAAACAAATCTGGATGCATATTTTAAAAGGCAAAGAAAAAAAGGAGCCCCCTTGTCGGCGTTAGTGGCTCCTTGGTCTGAAAAGGCTGGTGGTCACTGTAACTATTGCAATGATTCAGCAACTGGCAATGTTAGGGCTGGAGCAACCCAAGGACAGACAGTGCAGAATAACCAAAATCCATACCCACACAGAATCAGAACTATAGGAAAAAGTTAATGAGCTACAGGCAGAATCAATAGCATTTCCTGCAATTCCCAGCCTCTGCTCCACATCACTAGCTGCCACACTGGGATGGGAAAATGCACAACACACATGTAAGGTATAGGAGAAGTCATTATGGGTGTTCCATTACCCATAGCAATCCAATGTTCTTCGCCTTGTCTAGCTGTCCCCCAATTTGCGGCTCACATGCTTCTTACCTTTGGGAAAGGAAGGCTGCCAATGAACAGCATATACCCAGTTTTCATGTCCAGCTAACACAGAGTCCAACGTAACAGCAAAAGATGCATCTGAACCTACCACAGAGCAAAAAAGTAATAAAAATCTTCAAAGCTTATATCTATAAAAGAACCAAGGACATCATAAAAGAACCAGCTAACATCCCCATAAGGTAAATTCACAAAGTAACTCCACTACATTCCCTGAAATCAGTTAGATGCAAATAACAAAACCTGGACCAAATACCCCCACATTTCCGTTTCTGTCATTGATGTGAGTCTTGCATACTGCAGGGGAGGTTCTTCTCAAACCTTATCTTATTTGTCTCTTTTAGCTGCTTTCCAATGGTTTCAGCTGTTTCAAACAGAATGTTACTTTGTGTGCATTGTGTGTGTGTGTGTGTGTGTTTTATTTGCACACCACCCTGGGATCTCATGGGAGGAAGGATGGTTTAGAAGTATAGCAAACAAACTACAGTTTTGCATGGAAAAGCAAGGACAGTATGGAGTTATGCTATAGGGACGCGGGTAGCGCTATGGATTAAACCACAGAGCCTAGGGCTTGCCGATTGGAAGGTCGGCGGTTCGAATCCCCGCAACGGGGTGAGCTCCCGTTGCTTGGTCCCTGCTCCTGCCAACCTAGCAGTTCAAAAGCACATCAAAAGTGCAAGTAGATAAACAGGTACCGCTCCGGTGAGAAGGTAAACACCGTTTCCGTGCGCTGCTCTGGTTCGCCAGAAGCGGCTTAGTCATGCTGGCCACATGACCCGGAAGCTGTACGCCAGCTCCCTCGGCCAATAAAGCAAGATGAGCACCTCAACCTCAGAGTCGTCTGCAACTGGACCTAATGGTCAGGGGTCCCTTTACCCTTTACCTTTATAAAGTTATGCTATCAAACTGTCAAGAAGCACCCAGCCATGGTGTGGATAGTTGGCACAACAAATAGATGCCGCAACAAAATGTGAAAGCCTAAGTAAGACCTCACATGTCACTGAGCACCTTCAGAAGTTTGTTTGGGAAAGGCAGATAGGGTGGTACAGCATCACATCTGCAAATCCTGGGTTCTGAATGCAGGTACGCCTCTCAAATATACACAAAACGTAGCATTCTATTCATAATGGAGATATGTGCAAACAAACTCGTTTCCATTCACAAATATGTCTCACTAGACTGAGCTGATGCAATATATTTCTCTGTGCAATTTCTGTACTCTGCTGCTGACTTGGCTATGCAGTAGGAAAGGTTAAATCCCTGCCCAGGAATAGGAATGGATGATGTAACAGGAGTGGGCTGGAGTTTATGAGGTTAGCTGAAACAAAGCACGCAGAAATGCCACATCTCTCTTGGCCCTTTTGCTAGTATAGTCATGCAGCATGAGTTCAGTGAATTATTCTCAGGAAAGGAGAATCTGAAACTCAAGAATGGCAAACCAGGACTTACGTCCACATGTGGTGGAGGTGTAAATATGTAAAAGAAATTTGGCAAGGGGTGTTTAAGGAGATAACAGAAATCGCTGGGTTAAAACTGACCAAAAGTCCAGAGGTAGCATTATTATCCATTTACGAGGGGGTGGAAAGTTCGCAGGCTATGAAGGACTTGCTCACAGATTTATTGACAGCTGCACGACTTATTATAGCTAGGAAGTAGATGTATACAGAGTTTATTTAAAAGAACATTGCAAAAATATAAATCTGTTGGCAGGTCTGGATTGACTTTCTGCATGTAATAGAATAATCTTACAAAACTAATGCAATTGAAACAACCTAGAGGAGACAAAGTTTAGTGTGCAGATAAAGAATGTAATCTGGGAACCACAATGGGGGGACCGGAGGTCATGTTGAATCCAACTAAAATTGTTACATACAACAAGCACCAACTATGGAATGAATATGTGTTTATTTTTCTTTTTGTTTTCTGTTGAATACTTACGTTACAGTTTTTAAAACCAATAAAGTATATATTTTTAAAAAAGGAAGTGGAAGGAGCAAGATGAATATAAAGAGGTGTGGGATATAGCTATTAATGATAAATTAACATGTGCTATTAAGGTAAGACGGGGAATATGCAGGAGAAATGATTTTGAGGAGATATGGAAGGTATTTGTAGAATTTGCACTGTTAAAATGGAAAGGGGTCAAACTATCGCAAGAGGTGTTGAAATTTTGGGAGATTGGATATTGACAATGGAATGGTCTTGTGGGTGGGGTGCACATTTTTATTCTTATTTATTATTATTTTGTCAAAATAAAACATAAAATAAAAATAAAAATAAAAAGAATGGCAAACCTCAGGTTCAACACTTTCATTTAACCCTACTGACAACAATTGCATATTGCCTCAGAAAAAGCAACAGCTATTCATAAAGTAGAGACTCACCATTGTCATTTTTCACGGTGAAAATGTTCTCCTTCAGCCTTATGGTTTCCTCATCTTGGGCTTCCACAAGCAATGAAGTTGCATGCATCTTCCAGATCCTTATCAGACAATCCTGGGAACAGCTTGCCAAGAAGAGATCTCCATCTTTTGCAAAATTAAATAAATGAAAAGCAGGAAGATTTTAAAGATGGGAAGGTCATTGCCCAGGGAAATCAGTATTGCCATGAGCAGGTTGCTAACGAATACCAAAATAAATACTTTGCTGTAGCGCATGTCAGCACCATTCAGTGTGGAGAAGGATGAACATCACACTGTGATATTAGCTACAATACTGAAGAAATGCCTCACATAATCTAAGGAAAGCTCTCTAGGTTGGAATACATACCTGAATCTAGGATGGAATAGTTTGGCAAAATCATCTGTTTGTGGAAAGATAGTGCTACGTGGTTTCTCGGGGCGGGGGGGAAAGATTCAGTATCTTCTAAGATTCTCTATTTCTAACATGTGCTACACAGAGCAAAGCTGTAAGTTATGGGCAAGGTTACATATATGCTGAGATTCCACGGAGGAGCAGAAAAACCGAAGAGTGTAGAAGTGGGCATAGAATCCAGTTTCCCTAGAACAGAGGTCAGCAAACTTTTCCACTGGCGGGCTGGATCGCCCGAGCGTGGGAGCATGCGTACAAGCCCGCCGCTCTTTCCCCGCTGGCTTTCAGAGCCATGGCGGGGGGGAGGCATCTGTGGCTTCCTATTGGCTGCAGGAAATTCCTGCAGCCAATAGGAAGCCGTGGCTGCATCCCGGAAGTCAGTCCCCATGCGGAGAAACCAGCGCAGCACGCCGGTTTAGCTCCTCATGGGGACTGACTGAGCAGGCGGTTTAACAACCGCCTTAGGCCATATCTGGCCCACGGGCCATAGTTTGCTGACCCCTGCCCTAGAACCTCAATTACCATTTTTAAGATGCAAGTGTTGAGGCCTTGATCCTTCTAGGCCAAGCACCTGCATTGGAAGACACAATTGTCCCTCTTTGTTTCAACAAAGGCTGAACTCTAGGACAGTGTTTCCCAACCGGTGTTCCGCGGCACACGAGTGTGCCGTGAGACGTTGCCTCGTGTGCCGCGAGATGCCTGGAGGGAGGCGGGCGAGTCGGGCGGCGAGAGGCGGGGCGGCGGCCGCGAGGAGAGGCCGCGCCTCCTGCTGCTGCCTGGCGCTCCTCCTCGCAGCCGGCAGCGCTGCCTGGGCGCCTCCGCGCGACTCTGCCTCGCTGGGTTTGGTCTCCCAGCAGAGACGGGTCAGACGCGCCCCTCCCTCCCTCCCTCAGCCTGCGCGGAGGGAGAGCCAGAGAGAGGCATCGCTCCTGCGCGGCGGGAGAGGGAGCAGCCGGAGCGATGCCCCAAACGAACGCATGGGACCGGAGGGGAAATCCTCTCCGAGGCGGATTGAGCGCAGCTGAGAGAAGCCTTTCGAGGAGCTGCCGTGTCCCCTGGAAACCCCCTTCCCAGCTCTGCCTCAGCCGCCGCCGCCTCAGTTGCCGCCGTCCCTCAGTCCCTCGCTCTGCTGCCTCCTCCCACCCCCAAAGCTTGGAGGTTCCCCAGCAAGGGGGAGGGAAAAAACTTTCACTTTTGTGCGTCCCTCCCGGCGTGACGCTGCGCGCTGACGTCACGGGGCGGGGCTTTAATGGTGGTGTGCCGCGAGATTTTTTTTCAGTAAACAGGTGTGCCGTTGCCCAAAAACGTTTGGGAAACACTGCTCTAGGAAGCAGGCTACTCCAGACTGAAAGGACCATTCCCTTACTTCATTATCCAAAATGGAACACTTGCCTATTACATTATATAGTCAAATCCTCTGAAATTATCTTTCCCTATTAGCAAGGTCGCCTTCAAAATGTGGAGAAGAAAATTCATGCCAGCGGAATTATAAAAATAAACATCTAACTATAGTGTTAAAAATTACAGCACTCTCATTATCAAGTTCTGCCATCCTACTGTCTCGCTGGGTCTCAAATACTATGCTTGCATATATGAAAGGGAGATTAAAACCATCTCAGATGCTTGGCTTTTCCCAGTAATCTTGCTCTATATGGCGCATTAGATTATTAAAAATGCCTTGCTGCATGCCCTACCTACCGCAAACTGCCCATTCAATCCCTCTTATCCAGTCTTCATGGCCATGGAGCAGCAAAGTCTTCTGAAACTGAAACAAACCAGTATCGTTATGTAGCAAAAATATCTGAATTTTAATGCTCTGCATTACAGCCTGAGGGTTCTCCTGGATTCAGCTTTGTTGCCATGAGCTCAAACAGCACAGGGTGCCTTTTGGCAGCCTCAGCTGGTTCACCGGCGAGGTCAGAGTCAGCCATGCCCTGGTAACCTCTCTTGAATGGATTACTGTAATGCATTATACATCGGGCTTAATTTGAAGATTATTCAGAAGCTTCAGCTGGTACAGAATGTAGCGGCCCAGATTCTGACAGGCAGAGCTTATTTGAGATAGCTCCAATGGCAGCCTCTCCAATCCAAATTTGATTCAATGTGATATGGAGACCTGAAGGAGTACCTTCTCAGATAGTTAGCTGAGGGTTTTCTCTCTGTTCCCTCTTCATTTAAGATGAAGCAGGAGACAAACACAATGAGGACCATTTTGAGCTTGTAGGATGCCATTCCCCAGCAAGGTTGCGTTCTTTCAGGTGCCAGGCAAACCCGCAGGCTTTTAAAGCTTGCTGTCTTATACTCATTTATCTGGAAGTAAACTTTATTGAGAAGGGATGCGGGTGGCGCTGTGGTCTAAACCACTGAGCCTAGGACTTGCCAATCAGAAGGTCGGCAGTTCAAATCCCTGCGACGGGGAGCTCCCATTGCTCGGTCCCAGCTCCTCCCCACCTAGCAGTTTGAAAGCACGTCAAAGTGCAAGTAGATAAATAGGTACCGCTCCGGCGGGAAGGTAAACGGCGTTTCCGTGCGCTGCTCTGGTTCACCAGAAGCAGCTTAGTCATGCTGGCCACATGACCCGGAAGCCGTCTGTGGACAAACGCCGGCTCCCTCGGCCTATAGAGCGAGATGAGCACCCCAACCCCAGAGTAGTTTGCGACTGGACCCAACGGTCAGGGGTACCTTTACCTTTAAACTTTATTGAACAAATTGGAACTTACTTCTGTGTAAATGTGTATAGGGTTGCACTGTTTGGCATTTATAAGTATTTTTGAAGGCATTTTAATATTTTAAATTCTGTAAACCACACTGAAGCCAAATTAAATGAAGGGTGGTATATAACTAATTGGAATAAATAGGCACATCGGTCACCATGAATTGGCAGGCATGCTGAATAATTCCACACACACAACCTGTCTATGATGAATGCTAGCACAGATGTCAATTAACATCAAATGTGAACTGGAAGGAACACAACTAAACCCAAAACACATTATTTGTCTAAGCTCAAAATCCTCCGAATAGATTGGGATATAAACAAATTAAAAGTCATTTTGAAAATTCAATATAAAGGCACACCACAGCAATATTTGTAAACACTTCTCCCACATATTCAACTTTGTTTTTCCTGCCTTCATTTTCTCCCCACAAAATCACAGTCACAACAAAACACCCAAAAAATTTCATACTATTCATGGGATAGGAGACAGAAGTAATACTTACCTGTCCATCCTGCTGCACATATAAATGAATTTTGCAGTCATCCCCACCGCAAGCCAGTACCGGTACTGAAATGGCAAAGCAGTCAGTCGAAATCTGCTGTTTCATTATTATTATTTTAAACAGAAAAATAAAATGGACACAAGGGAGTACACCACATTTACTAAAGGAAGAAGAGAGTGAGAAAGAGAGGGAAGGAGGGAGAGAAGGACCCTAAGGCTGCAATCCTATGCCAAAGCACCAGGAAGCCAGCGCACCTTGAATGCTCTGGGACTTACCATATTTTTTGCTCTATAAGACTCACTTTTTCCCTCCTAAAAAGTAAGGGGAAATGTGTGTGCGTCTTATGGAGCGAATGCAGGCTGCGCAGCTATCCCAGAAGCCAGAACAGCAAGAGGGATTCTTGCTTTCACTGCGCAGCGATCCTTCTTGCTTTTCTGGCTCCTGAGATTCAGAATATTTTTTTTCTTGTTTTCCTCCTCCAAAAACTAGGTGCGTCTTGTGGTCTGGTGAGTCTTATAGAGCGAAAAATACGGTACTTCTAAGGGTGTGTTACACAGTTCCAGGACTATTAAAAAACCTCATAATCTGTAGAATATCCAGTGCTGCAGTAGTTATAATTTCACAAATCTCAAAAAGAAGGAATTATGCTGCTCTCCACTCTGCTAAAAGTCAAATTACAAAATTTTCTGCCTTCCTATATTATGCTCCTGCCCTAATGTATCTATTTACCCTAGGGCAGAGGATGGCTTTCTGGATCTCCATAAACAGCACCATGAAACACATGCTGAGCCTTGTCTATGCATCATTCTGGTGTTTTGGAAATCCAACTCCTATGAACAGAATCACTGTTTTATATGCATGCAACCCACATAATCCCAGTACTAAAAGGTACTTTAATACAACAGGTGAATGGCAACTCCTAATTGATCCTGACACAATACCAATAACTTCTGAACATATTCACTTCCACTTCAGCAATTGCCTGCTCATCTGCAAAGAGTTAATAGGTATTTTCTCAAAAAGGATAATGTATAGATATTGACTTAAAAATACAATAGAACTTAGAAGCAGACATTCGCTACTAAAGACTTGGGTCAAAGGGAACTTTAAAGCGCATCATTCTGACAAGTCTGATAATCCCAAAAGTCAGTATTGATTTTGGCATCAGGCATGGTGGATACAATCACAAGCATCCAGCTGAGCTGAATTTATTTGAATGGGCTGTCTCCCAGACCCTGCAACACAATCCATTTGCAGCAAACATGGGGATACTTGGTTGCAACCATAAAGGAGGTACAATTTTCCAATAAAACACACAACATCTGGAGCAGACATCCCTCTCAGTTCCATCCTTCCACCCAGCAGTGACGAGGTAAGGGAGGGGTGTGCACAAACCTAAAACACCTGCATCACTGAGATGCCATCATTTAAAGACACACCAAGCAATAAATTGTTTTGTTACCATACCACCATTAATGTGCATGGTGCTTTAGCAGAGTAATAACCAAAAAGGCAGGGGCCTGTCCCAAGGCACTTGCAACCTAACATTCAACACATGGGAGACAACAGAAAGAAGGGAGGAAGGTGAAGACAAACAGAGGGATAATATTCAGCGTTTAGGGATAGAATCACAGCTCAGATGACCGACTATGCAATTTTTGCTTGCATTTATTCTCAAAACACTGAATAAAAAGCTGAAAGTGTAAAAGTAACATTCACTATCTCCTTTGATACATTTACCAATAAATGTGCACACAAGGAAAAAAAACATTTCCTCTAAACGTATTGAGCAACATGGCAAAGAAAGCAGTACTGAAGTCAAATTAGTGTCAAGTCACACTGGTGTGGGTGGGTGTGAAAATGGGAACTCACAGGAGCAGATATTAGGAGCCCAAAAACAAAATGTTTGAGTCAGTCTTTGAAATTTGCTGCCATCCATCAACTACATTGACTAAAATGCTTAAGACACCAGTTAAGCATCCCTTTAAATGATTAAACAGTTTTACAGACACACTTACTGTTGCTGTCTGGCAAGAAGGACAAAGAAACATCCATAACAAATCCATTTCCAAATAGCAGTGTCTGAAGACATTTAACTGAGAGGGAGAGAGAGAGAGAGAATAGTTTTGCACACCAGCAGTCAACATGACAGACAGCCAATGTAGAACCAAAGAGATAAGCTGCTAATTACAGCTACAAAGAATTAAAACTCACCCAAGATTAACCTAAAGGATTATACATCATAAAGAAATGCAACAGAGAAACTGACTCAGGAAACTGACATAGCTATCGACCTTGCCCTTTCTTTGTCAAGATGTATAGTTTGTGGGAATCCCTTGCAGATGACTACAGTGCCTGGAGACAGACAGTCAGGTCATGGACCCACAGCAGTGACTAGAGGAGGAATGACTGCTAGGAGGAGCATAGAGGGAAGAAATGCCATGGTGCATCTGCAGCAGCACAACGGACACTTTCATCTGGCCCAGCTGCAACAAAACATGTCTCTCCCATATCTGCCTTTACAGCGACAGCAGGCACTGTAACTTTCCAATTGTTTGACTTCGCTCCCAAAGGCACACTCTTCCGTTGTTACCCAACACAGATGAATGTCGATAACATCAGATATCGAAAGTACTTAAGGTCTGAGCCTTATTCAGGTGTTCAGTATTGAGTGTCCTGAATGCTTGAAGAGGCTCTTAGAATATACAAGCTAGCCTCTCTCCTAGATGCTGAGGCACATACCAGCCATGACTCCTAACTTGACATGCCTAAAGTGGGGCATTCATGTATGGAGGTACACCAATAGGGCTCCAGGAGGGATCTGGAGTTTTTTTTGTTCAGGCCATGGGTCCAGGATTCCATTTCAATATCAGCTACCCAGATGCCTTGGAAGCTCACAGGTACAGCACAAAAGTAATTGCCATCCCCTATGGCTTATCCTCAATCTCTAGCACTTAAAGGTATATCGTTTCTATTAGCTATCATGGCTAATAATCATTAACAGACCTATTCCCCCAGGAATCTGTACAACATTAATTGGTCCTCCAAGTTGATGAAAGTATGACTATGATTTGTGTTTGTTCAGCAAGCCTAATTATAATTGAGAACTTCTGTTCTAACATATCCTGAATACTTTCCTAACTTTGACTAGCCACTGGACTGCCACCTTTCTGCTATTTTAAGTGTTTTTATATCACTCTTCAGTTATATTCCTAACTAGCTTTACAAAAAGAAAACAGACACACCAAAAACTGTTTTTTAAAAATGTATTTTTGCTAGCTAGACAACTGGTGGCTATTCGAAACCAGTGTATTCCAAATGGAAGAAATCCAGATTCTCCTAAAGATATGGATACATATCATTAAACTTTGCTACATGAATGTGACTTCTTGAAAGAATCTGTTTACAAAGCACAATAGAGAAAGTTACCTTCTGTTCCTTGTTTGGACCAGATTCTCACAGTAGAGTCAGAAGCCGCAGAAGCTAAAAGTATATTTAACTCTCCTGTAGACTCATTCCTCATGTATACAGCATCCAAAGAGCAAACTGCTTCAGAGTGGCCTTCAAGACGAGTGCAGTTCACAAGCTAAACAGAACATTATAAGATTACACAAAGGAAGGACAAGAACCTTGAAGTCCAAATCAAGCTGCCATGCAAAGTGTGCAGTTTTCAGAACTGTCCAACTAGGGAAGTGCTAAAAACTGTAACGGAAGTGAAATACAAAAGCTTTAGTTGAGAACATTGGTAAGCAAATTACATTGCTCTCGTTTTTGTCCAGGGCATTAGAAAATATGCACTTTATACAACATTCTATTTGTAATCTATGCTGTTCTGTGTTCTGATAAAAATTAGAACTCTGTTAAGTTCACAAGAAGCAACATCACTGGGTTTTTCCATCCATTTTCTAAATCTGCTTTAAATGGCTTGGTATATGACAAAAATAGTAATAATTAAGGTTTAAACTAAATTGAACACAACGGAAAAGCATTCAGGCAGAATAGAAAACAACTGAAGGGTAATATTGATTAAAATAATTTTATTCCAAATGCTATCAGAAGGGTCATTTAATTTCACCTCCTGTATAGCACAGGGCAAATCCAATTTGTTTTCTGTGGAGTCTTCCAGGTTCCATTTAGTTTAAGCATTTCTTTTTATAAGAGAGTCTAATCTCAATTTAAAAAACTATAAGTACTTGACTATACTAGTTCACTTAGCCTTCTGTTTCACCAGCTAATAACACTTTTACAGTTAAGTACATGAAGTGCTTTGCAATCATTGGGATTGTGGACATACCAGCCGTTTTTCCTGGAATATATCCTCAAAACAGCAGGCACAGCTTATACCTCATCCTAATAGTATTTCTGATTCTGATCTACTTCCAGGCAAGGTGGTACCTCATTAATGTGGTATTTACGTCCACTGCCAGCACATTGCCTCCTTCAGTCTGTAGATCGGCTCAAGATAGTGGAAAGAGAAAGACTTCAGGGTGCCATTTCATATTCAAGCTACAGTCACGAGAACATTCATGGTTGTGGAAGAGATTTGACCTCACTGCCTTCAGATTTGCAAGGAAGCATCCCAGCAATTTGTTTGCTCACAAAGAATTCCTGCATTTCAGCAAAGTAATTTACCTTGCTAGGTGGATCAAAAGTTGTCTACTACAAAGAAATAAGACTCGTGTGGATACAGCCTTGATTATTCCTCACCCCTCACTGTTACAGAGAACCAAGACTGAACATCACTGAGATGTGCCCTTGCATCAGACAGGTGATCCATGGTGATATATGGCTGGATAGAAACTCTCTCAAGCCCTCTAGTAATATCACTGGTTTCTTATTCTATGTTGTCATGAAAAGCTATTTTTTCTTTCTTTCTTTATATAGGTAAATTACAATGACAAAGGAAATCTCATTCACAATGAAGCAACATTGTAATACTGTATGTCTTCTTTGCCATATCAGGTACTAGGTTCGAGAGAAGAAGGAATTATCTCATCATAAAGAAAAAGAACACCACAGGTATTGCAAATTTGTGTTGGGTCGAAACGTAGCATTGGTATATCATGATAGAAATCAGGAGTGGGGAACCTTTGGATCTTCAGATGTTGTTGAACTACAACTCCTATCATCCCTGGCCACTGGCCATACTTACTAGGGCTGATGGGAGTTATAGTCCAGCAACATCTGATGTAAATTCTCAGCCTTAAGTATTTCTGGGTGGCACTAACTGTCCAGTCTGTGGCAGGTGCAAAACTTGAAAAGACAGGGCAAATTGGATTGGTGAATTTGCGAAGTGTGTGTAATTAAATATGATACAGTAAACAGGATGGGAGCAAATCTTTTCTTACAAGATGATGTAAGACCTCAGGCTTGGCAGAAGTGGGCAGAGGATGAGGAAAGAAACACCAGCTGCAGCTCACTGCCTGACTTCCAACCCAGAAATCACTATTTAAAGAGCACTGCTGCTGCAGCCCTTTTGCTCGAAGATGCTCACTGGTGTTTTTCCTCAGTCAGTCAGGAGCACAGAAATGAGTGAGCCCAGCAAATCTTCGTCCGTAATCCTCCCTAGTAGCCCTATCAGCCTTAAAGCCTTTGTTTGGACAAGAGGGCAAGCCAGACTCCAGCTTGCTTTGCCTGCAGTGTGACAGAAGCAGAGGAGGAGCACTGCAGAAACTTTTTAAGCAGCATGTGTGACTCGTTTATGTCAAGCCATAATTTATTTTAAACTATGGTTTAATTGGCATGTGAACCAGGCCCCTGAGTTAAACAGAGCTGTGGCATTAAGGCCGAGTACTAGGCATGTACAGTGGTGCCTCGCAAGACGAAATTAATTTGTTCCGCGATTTTTTTCGTCTTGCGATTTTTTTCGTCTTGCGAAGCATGGTTTCGGAAAAGTTTTGGAAAAGCTTCAAAAATCACCAAAGTCTTCAAAAACCTCAAAAAAAGGCTACCACACCACGTGCTATGAGTTGCTCCTCGAAGTCAAGTCGCAACTGTATTAACGGTGTTAAGAAAAAGGAAACAAACTTGCAAGACATTTCCGTCTTGCAAAGCAAGCCCATAGGGAAAATTGTCTTGCGAAGCAACTCAAAAAACCAAAAACCCTTTCGCCTTGCGAGTTTTTTGTCTTGCGAGGCATTCGTCTTGCGAGGTACCACTGTATCACGCCTAAATAACCACAATTTCTTCTCTGCTAAGGCAGTGTACTTCTGAACTTCCTTGTTAAGCACAAAATGTGCCACTGACTGCAAAATTCAGCTTCCTCGGAATCTCTGGTATCATTTTAGTAAACATATGTTTGCAGGCCTTAATTTAGCAAATATAAGCATTTAAGTGTGTACTCTAGACAATGGATGACAAAACCTAAGAATCCAGAGAGATAACTAAATACGATTTTCAGTGGGATGGGCTTCCAGAATTGATATACCTTCCAGTCTTCCAAAAGACAGCATGCATGGAAAATGTAAGATAATGCAAACACATTGTTCAATTATGCATAATGTAAACAGGCCACAGAATTCTTACTGCTTTGGAAGTGAATATAGTATTGAAGTCTTAGTATAGATTTCCCCCCTTTACACCAAGTACTACACAAGACGTACAATGGCAGATCTTTGAACAGATCTCTTTTGCTTTCATTGTGATGCTCTTAAATTTTGAATCCAAATTACTAGCAATGAATTTGTTGCAGTATAGAATTGCTTAGTACAATAGTTAGAGTGGAAAGAATGGAAAGATTCAGAAGTCGTTCTAGGTTTTATTTTTTTAAGGGGGGGAATCATGCTTACAATTGTTTTATTCTCACATATCACAATCGCTCTACATACCTTCTCGTTTTGTGTTTCCCAAAGAATAAGTAGTTTGTCAGACCCTCCAGAAATTAATTCTGTTTCATAAGCTGTGAAGGGGGAGGAGGGGAGAGGGAGAGAAAGGTTGAACAAGGGAAAAGTTGAATAATTCTGATTCAAGATGACTTTTGGTTTGTTTCAGTGGCAATTCTTCCCAAAGGTCAAAATCTGCAAATAGATTACTTTTTTAAAAAGCACACATACACACACACACACTGACGTCTGTAATAATAGTTTCAATTTCTTCCTAGGTCCCATCTTTCCAACAGAGGAGAAAGTAGGGACACTTGCAACTCCACAAACAGACTCTCCTTTACTTTACTAGGAATTCACCTGAATTTGTTGTTATTATCAAGTGCCAGGTCTCATGTAATTGTAAATTCTCAGTTCCCTACATTTACATTACACATAACTTTTCATTTTCACAGTGATCCTCATGTTTTCAAGACTATAATCTTTAAAGAACCTCTTTCATTTCAGGAGTGTTTAGCTCTACTCTTTAGCACTCTTTTAAGCTGCAGTTTTGTTTTGCAAATGGCAATATGTACAACGGAACTAGAACTGTAACATGGTAAAGAGGCCTCACTTAAGGCACCATGATACATTATACTTTGTGCCTTTCCTCCTCAACTTGAAAACTGGGTGCACAGGTTAAGCTGATGTTTTAACTTGAAATACAGAATTGTGTCCTGAACATGTTTCAAATTCTCTTGGGATATCTCTATGCTCAAGAGACAATCCCCCCCCCCAAACTAAAGTACTCACTTTGTTTGGTCACCTAGGACTACATGGTCTTAAGTTATTAAAAATAACATAACATAACATAATATAATATAACATAACATGAAACATAACATAACATATAACATATAACATATAACATAACATATAACATAACATATAACATAACATATAACATAACATAACATAACATAACATAACATAACATAACATAACACAACACACCACTGGCCATGCTAGCCGACAGCTGGACTCCTTGCCCTTTACTGTATACTGTATCTTGAAAAAAGTACAGGGAGGAATAAATTTCAAATGTAGAACATGCCCACCAGAGGGCACTGCAACAGCAGCAGTCATAACCCAGGTAATTCCTCTGGCTACCTAACAGTGCAAAAAATGCACATCTATGGCCTGGATTCAAAGAAATATGTAACTATTTCTTTGTATCTAATAAAGTATTGGACTTGCACTTCTCACACATCCTCCATTACATAAAGCAAGTCACGTTTGAAATGGAGTTTCAAAAACTGTGGTTCATAAGGCACAGGAGTCCACTGTTCAAAGGAGGAGCAGGAAGAGTCAAATGTCCCACCTGGTGGGTCCAAGCATGCTGATGCTCTTTGCACCCTGACTTGTGTAACCAAGCCGGCAGGGCACAACAGCTTTTCCTTTTATCCCCTTCATGCTTCCCATTGCCATGTATTATTGCACAAATAAATTAACTGCATCCCCAAACATATTAATTACAACAATAACAATATAAAACATTTGATAGCCACGTAAAAGTTGCATATATAGATATAGATATAGATATAGTTTATGAAGAGGCTTAGGACTGATAACGAGATGGTGTTGTATAAAAGAGAGAGGGGTGTGGTGTATAGCCCCAAAGTCTGGGCAGAGAGGAAGTTCCCAGGTTAGTGTGCCTGGAACCTTCGCCAAAATTGGGGCTATAGACCACAGTATTTATAGGACTCAAAACTGAGATCCTCTTTTCAGTAACAGAAGCCGAACACCATGAAATGAGAGTGAGACCTCGTCAAACAGCAACTTTACACGGAAACACCGAGACCCAAAATGCATTGTGTATTGTGAAAAAGAAACAATAGAAAAGTATAATGTATGATTAGCCTATATTAATGAAATATATGGTAAATGTACCTCAGCAATTTCACACTCTTCTGTGTCTTGGAAAGTACAGGGAGTGCACAAATGTTCTGTCACACTGGGCTGGTCTGACGCAATGAAACATGTTTGGTGCTATGTGAAGAAAGACCCTTGAGCTTCCATGCTCCCCACTTCTCTCTCTAGCACACAGCAATTCTCTGCCTTCCTTTCTTAAGCCAAACCTGCCAACTATGGTTTTAACCACTGTGGTTTCTGAACATGGTTTTCATGGAAAGCACAAACCATAGTTTTGTCACTTCAGGCAAAATGAGCCCAACTACTGGTTGCCTCAAATTGGAAAGGGAGTAAAGAGAACTGTGGGCAAGTAGGAATACACAAATCCAAAGGTCTCTAAAGGCTGATTTACACAGCATTAGTTTGTCATTGTGAGGTTTCTCTATTTAAGTGCAATACTGTCCCACTCTAGAATTATAGTATCTACTGATTGCATTTCAAACCTGTTTCCAACTCCAACAACCCTATCCTATACATCTAAAATGGATTGTAAGTTTTGAGGTAAAATTATATTATCAGTACTCTGTAACGATCCAGGTGCATATCCATGGCATTTTTTGTTTAAAAAAACCACTCAGTAGAAATAGGCCTCTTACTCCAATTATACTTACATCCATCTTTTCTGCGAATCCACTGAACACAATTTACTCTTCCAGTATGTCCATTCAGTGTACCAACTACTTTTCTTCTCTGGGGGAAAAAAACGCAATCAAAATTATCTTAAGTCATGGAAGCTTGTTTGTGGTGGGGTTGAGCAGAATTCTGATAAGGAAAAGTTATTTATCCAGAGATGCTCTCAAAGAGACTATTGCCAACATTCTTTCAGTAACAGCATTAAAAGGGCAAAATATTTCACAAATATGTTAGAAAAATTTAACCATTCACTAACTGTAGTCAGAATGCTCCCCAACTGGCTGACACTAGCAAAGCAGAGAAACCACAGGCAATATTTACCAGTGGAAACCCATTATTTGTTAAATAGTTACACCTTTCTATTACAGGGTGGGGTTGATGACTCACACCTGAATCTGAATCCAGGTGAAGCGAGTATTTTGGTAATATGGAGCCCTCAGGGAGGACAAAATTTGCAGTCCCCACACCTTAATTAGTTCTTATTTTCAGAATAATTCATTTTGGTAAAGTGGCTTTTTATGGAACTTCTCGGCGGGTTGAATAAATATAAATTTATCATCATCATCATCATCATCATAATTATTTAGCACCCGTTTTCGGCTCAGCGCCCTGAGCGACGGCAAAATTTTCCCCCCGCCCCACCCTCAGTATTTATTTCCACAACAATTCCGTTTGGCACAGCTACTTTTTATGGATTTTCTCAGTAGCTTTATTATATAGGCTTTATTTTAATTTTAATTTTATTTTTTTGCGCCTCCAGGGTTTCAAACTTGGGCTGCCTCAGCTGCTGTCGGACTACAACTCCCGCCATCCCTGACCGCCGGTCCTAAAAGCTAAGCATGATGGGAGTTGTAGTCCAACGGCAGCCTGGCCTCGCGCGTTCGAGAACCACCACCCTAGCCGAGCAAGAGCGAGGGGAAAGCCTGCCGCCTCACCTGCGGGTCGTAGAGGACGACCGAGCGGCACGAGCCGAAAGCCACCAGGCCGCCTCTCCCCCAGGAAACCACTCCGGGACCGGCTCGGTTGGCGCAGCAGGCGACATGGCACACTTCGAAGGGCGCCGCCATCTTGTCGCAACCCCTCGCCTTCGCTACGGTAGGTTTTTTGCCTCAAAGCGGCCGCCGTAGGAAAGAAAGAACGCGAGGAAGGCGGGGGAGGCAGCGGGGAGTTGCAGAATTAGTACCAGCTGATGTTGCTGGTTATAAAAAAATGTGCATATATTAGATTAGAATAATAAAACAAACAAAACAAAAAGCTGGGTAGGGTCCCTAGAAGCTTCCTTTCCTTGCAAAGTTTTAAATGTTTGGGATGAGTGTCTGGGAAACTGCAAAAGAAACCAGCTTAAATATCTCTTTACTTATTTTTTGCTTTTTTTGTTTGTGTTGGTCTGGCAGAGTTGGAGTGATTTAGGGGAGGGACAGCAAGGGTGTGCAAACTAATATGAGCTGACGTTGCTGGTTTTTAAAAAATACACATATATTAAGATAATAATATGGAATAAAGCAGGGTAGGGTCACTAGAGGCTTCCTTTCCTTGCAGGGTTTTAAATCTTTGGGATAAGTATCCTGAAAACAGCAAAAGAAACCAGTTTAAATATCTCATTTCTTTTTTGCTTTTTGTGTTTTTGGTCTGGCAGAGTTGGAATGTTTTGGGGGGGGCGGTTCACCTGCATTTTTAAACCTCTCGTGAGAGGCCAAAAAAAAAAAAAAAATAACACAGGGAGACGATGATGTGATGAAAAATGCTGCACCGGTTGAATTCCTGTCTTTTTTTGTTTTGCTACGCAGACTTCTGGAAGGTGCAACGGATTTTTCTCCCCCGCTCAGAAGTTGGATGGCTAAGTTGTAAAGAAGGCTGGGCTCCTCTCTACACCTTTAATAATTTGCACCTGAAATTCCCTTTTCCTGCACAACTTTTAAAGGTGCAAAAGCCTCACTTGAGGGTGCTCTGGTAATGGGGGGGGGTGCTTTGTTTGTGAGAAGACAGTCTTGCAGCACATTTAAAGACTAAAAAAATATGTTACGGCATAAACTTTTGTGGTTATATTACAGATTCGAAAAGAACCTTTGTATGTTGCTCTGCTTTTCTGTTTTTTGAATGTTGCACTGTTGTCTATGTACACAATATTTGCCTCGCATATTGAAGATTGCAATCGGAGCTGGTGATGGACAGCAACTGAAACCCAGTTTGGTATTTCCATTCCTCTTTCAGGTTGTTGATATTGTTTAGTCGTTTAGTCGTGTCCGACTCTTCATGACCCCATGGACCAGAGCACGCCAGGCACTCCTGTCTTCCACTGCTTTCCGCAGTTTGGTCAGACTCATGCTGGTAGCTTCGAGAACACTGTCCAATCATCTTGTCCTCTGTTGTCCCCTTCCCCTTGTGCCCTCCATCTTTCCCAACATCAGGGTCTTTTCCAGGGAGTCTTCTCTTCTCATGAGGTGGCCAAAGTATTGGAGCCTCGGCTTCAGGATCTGTCCTTCCAGTGAGCACTCAGGGCTGATTTCCTTCAGAATGGATAGGTTTGATCTTCTTGCAGTCCATGGGACTCTCAAGAGTCTCCTCCAGCACCATAATTCAAAAGCATCAATTCTTTGGCGATCAGCCTTCTTTATGGTCCAGCTCTCACTTCCATACACCAATTTGTGGGAGAGGTTAACTAAGGGTTAGGGCCTTCGCTTTATTGTCCTTATTGTCCCTTTCCCCCGTTTCCTGTGCCTCCAGGCCCTCCCTCTTTGTGAATCCATAACTTCTGTGTGTGTGCAGGGAGCTAAGCAACCGGCATTGCTTGGCAACACCTTCTATTTGTGCTGAAAGAGTTTGTTGGCTTGACAAGGAGGTGTACAAAGAAGTAACGTGCTTCGAGTAAATGACAAGCTCCCCATTTTAAAAGGAGTCCCAATCCCATTATAAAGTATTGTGCACGCTATTTGTATCTGTTATCTGCCCAAATCAGATACCTTTCTAGAGGACGCTGTGCAAACAGAATCGCTGCCCTTTTCAACTGGCTGTTCTACTATGGTGTAGCCAGACACAGGATTTTTGTAGGTGAGCTTTTTCCTACCTTCTATGCTTCTTGCTAAATTTAATCAAGCTTTTGTTGCAGGAGCAGAAGCAGGGCTAATAAAACTGAAGTCAGAAGCCCTAAACCAGTCAAAGGCAATACAGAATACAGTGGTACCTCGGGTTACATACGCTTCAGGTTACAGACTCCGCTAACCCAGAAATATAACCTCAGGTTAAGAACTTTGCTTCAGGATTAGAATAGAAATCGTGCAGTGGCGGCACAGCGGCAGCAGGAGGCCCCATTAGCTAAAGTGGTGCTTCAGGTAAAGAACAGTTTCAGGTTAAGAACAGACCTCCAGAACAAATTAAGTACTTAACCTGAGGTACCACTGTAGACTGATATTAAGAACACTGTACCCATGATGCCACATGTGTGATTTCTCTCTCCTGTACTTCCCCATGTTGATAAAAACATCTTGCATAGTTTGTTCCCAGATGTATACGTTGCTAACATAGGCTAAAAAGTGGAAGATACTTAAAGTGCTATGTTATGTGTGAATACATGCAACATTTCTCCTCTTGTGTTTTAAGGAAAAGTTATATACCGTTTTTTGTTTGACAGGCTTACATTTTGTCCTCTCTAGGGTATCACAGAACAGGAGTGCAACTTTTTTCTGGCATATCAACACTTTAACCTAGTTTCCCAGAGCCAGTGTGGTGTAGTGGTTAAGAGCGGTAGACTCGTACTCTGGTGCACCGGGTTTGTGTCTCCGCTCCTGCACATGCAGCTGCTGGGTGACCTTGGGCTAGTCATACTTCTTTTACGTCTCTCAGCTCCACTCACCTCACAGAGTGTTTGTTGTGGGGGAGGAAGGGAAAGGAGAATGTTAGCCGCTTTGAGACTCCTTAGGGTGGTGATAAAGCGGGATATCAAATCCAAACCTCCTCCTCCTCTTCTTCTTCTTCTTCTTCCTGTAAAAAGAAAGAAAAAATCCAGGTATTTATTTATTTGAGGGCCAGGTAAAGTACTCTAACTTTCTCACAAATAAAAATGCAGCCCTAATTTTAAAAGTCCTATGACTTCTAAGAGATTCTTGGACTGTATCTGGCATGTGTGGAAGGGAGGAAAGTTCTACCAATAATATCCACAAATGCCTGTCAAAATAATAGATGGTCCTGTATACCTGAAGGAGCGTCTCCATCCCCATCGTTCAGCCCAGAGACTGAGATCCAGCACCAAGGGCCTTCTGGCGGTTCCCTCACTGTGAGAAGCCAAGTTACAGGGAACCAGGCAGAGGGCCTTCTCAGTAGTGGCGCCTGTCCTATGGAACACCCTCCCTTCAGATGTGAAGGAAATAAGCAGCTGTCTTCTCTTTAAAAGACATCTGAAGGCAGCCCTGTTTAGGGAAGTTTTTAATATTTAACGCTGTATTGTTTTTAACACTTGATTGGAAGCCGCCCAGAGTGGCTGGGGAAACTCAGCCAGATGGGCGGGGTATAAATAATAAATTATTACTATTCTGGTCATCTCTAGGATTTGCAAAAAGAAATTGTATGATGATGATGTCACTGCCATTTCACTCTGGCACATGGGAAGAGTAGAGCCTGCCTTGCTAGAGTTCCTCTCCCCCGTACAGACAGGTGAAGGGAACATCAAGGGATCAGCTGGGTGATATGTGTCCTGTACAGACACACCCTTTGGCTTCCTACAGCCAAGTAAGTATCATCAGTGAAAATAATACAGAACTAATGGCAAGCATCTGCTAATTACGGCTGCCTGTAGTACATTAAAACATGTTCTCAAAATCTCATGTTGGCAGGGCACAGATTACCCTCCTGAAATAGAACATGTCAGCTCAGTCAACAAGTTTAGTTTATTGTTAGCTGCATCTGTAACCAAACACTTCTTTCTAAACAATTTCTTGTGTTGGCACTGTGATTTGAAGGATGTCTGCTGCTATTAATTGCAGGGCATTGCAAATCAAGCTGTGGACGCTGGATTTTTTGGCCCTGGTTGTGTCATTAGCCTTGTAACAGGCCAAACCTTGAGAAAGAAGTTATTGCTCGAGTTAGATGATAGTCCTCATATACACTGGATGAAATAAAGAGTTTTATGATGGCACAAATAATTTATAACAAGGAACGTCTTGTTCCCGAATGCCACAAATGTTTTATCTCCTGGGGTTTGTGTATCCCAGGCATCTTACTTTGTAATGCAAAGCAATCAATCAGATTACCAGTTCAAATGTGGTCATCTCAAACTGCTTGCTTCTCCCATATAAAGCTATAAGACATCATAATAAAAAAAATCTAAGAGTTGTCATTAGCACGCCAATAAAATCTAATGTTAGAGGTCAGGCCACAGTTGTAAAATAGGAAATAAAGCAACTTATTTGGAAGTTATTTTTGGTCATCTTTGTCTCTTCCCCCACCCCATAGAATAAAATTTAGGTAACCAGTTAATCAAGACAGAAAACTCCTTATTTTGTGCTTATTTTTCTAATATTGCGGTGTTGGTGTTGCAGTTCTGCATGTTACAGTTTCTGATTCTTTATTGTATCCACTGAATATGTGAATACTTGTGCATAAAAATAGCTTATGACAGCAGAAGGATGTTTAGTCTCTGTTTCCCTGGCATGGTTAAAATCTTGCAGTTATTTTTATTGCATGCATTCAACTTTGCAAAGTATTGTATCCCAAGTTTTGCAGATGCTCTGTGACAAAACATCATCAGTGTGGACATGAGCTCAGAAGTAGTCATATGTTCACAATACAGTGCTCTCAGATACCTGATACAATGCTGTATCTGTTCAGGGTTATTTACGAACTATTTAGGGCACAATCTAGCAAAGCTTAGGAGTTATGACTACAACTCAATTTTCAGTGACAATGGGAAATCATTGTGATTAATTAATCACTCGTTGATTCATTAATTTTAATGGAAGTTTTGTTGTGGCTCACTTTTGCTAGTTTGTGAATGTAGTGATTTGTTTGGAATCTTACGGAGGCTGATGAAATTATACCACTGTATAAGGCTAATCTCCTGCCAACCTAGCAGTTCAAAAGCACATCAAAGTGCAAGTAGATAAATAGG